GGTTGGGATTAATCTCCATACAAGAGTAAAAGGCTACAGGACCTGCATGTGGTTTGCTTTGCCTGCAGTAGCAGCAATAGTTTGATGAGGAAACCACCTGACCTTGTTATAACTCCGTTTATAACCTGACCCTGGACAAAGTCTTTTGGGGATGTGGTTCAGAATTGGGCTACCTGACTTTTTTTTTGGGGTTGGGTTGGTTGTTTTTTTTTTTTTTTTTCTGTTTGGTTTGGTTTTTGGTTTTTTTGTTGTTGTTTTTTTGTGGGTTTTTTGTGATTTTTTTTTTTTTTGCATTTGGTATAATAAATATTAGGTTGTCTTTAAAAATACAGAAGAGAAACCTGCCTTGTCATCAAATGTAGGGTGCAGGATTGACCAAATCTAAGTGTCCTGTAGCAAATTGTGAAGGAGAAATCAACACTACAGTTAAAAGTGAAACTCAGAATCTGGGACTGAATTTGCAGTCTGGTGTGACAGTGTTCACAGGGGTTTTTGGATGAGGGAAGAGATGAGGATTTGACTCCACGTTTCAGAAGGCTGATTTATTATTTTACGATATATATTACATTAAAACTATAGTAAATGAATAGAAGAAAAGGTTTCACCTCAGAAGGCCAGCTAAGTTAAGAATAGAAAGGGAAAGAATGATAACAAAGGCAGCTGCCTCAGACTGTCTGAGTCAGCTCTGCTGTCATTGGCCATTAATTATAAACATCCAGGATGGGCCAATCACAGATGCACCTGTTGCATTCCACAGCAGCAGATAACCATTGTTTACATTTTGTTCCTGAGGCCTCTCAGCTTCTCAGGAGGAAAAAATCCTAAGGAAAGGATTTTCATGAAAAGATGTCTGCAGCACTCCGGTCCTGGCCTTTTCCTATATTTGAAAAGGCATCCTTCCATGTGTTTTGTTTTTGACATAAATGCAAGTCTTGTCCTTAAATCATAGAATTCCAGACTGGTTTGGGCTGGAGGGACCTCAAAGCCACCCAGTGCCACCCCCTGCCATGGGCAGGGACACCTGCCACCAGACCAGGGTGCTCCAAGCCCCCTCCAGCCTGGCCTTGGGCACTTCCAGGGATGGAACAGCCACAACCTCTCTTTGATTCACTTTTTATTTGAGTCTATGTCAGGAAGAGCTGTGTTGCTGTAAGGAAGGGCACAACTTCTGTGTCTGATGTACACTAAAATAAGTCTCTCACCCTGCAATATTACTGCTTGGAGCAGAGCTGAGGGGCCTGAGTAAGTGACCCTCCTTTTTTCTACTATAACATTTCTACCTCTCCATTCTGTGGTTTCAGATTTTATTTACAATTGGGAGATGACTCTGGCCCAATGCTGATTGTAGCCACCTTTAGATCAGCAATGGGGAGGAGCATTTAAAACAATTCTTGGATTTCTTCTTCACACATGGAATAACTTGAACTATTTCCAATTCCTACTGAAGTCTAGTTTAGGTTGGCACTGTAACATCCACAGAGCAATTTCATACATCAAAGAGCAAAGTCATGAAAGCAGGAACTTGCCTGAGGAGCCTGGAAATCCCAACAAATAGCTGAGGTGCTGGGAATGTCTTTGAGAGGTGATGCAAACCATGGGATCATTTGAAACATTCATCATTTGGATGTGGTTGGTGATAAAGTTTTTCCTTTGGTAAGAACTGAGTACAGTGATTTCAGTCCAAAATACCAAAAACAGTGGAGGGAAAGCTGCAGGTGACACAAGGGCTGGAAGTGACAGCCTGTGCTGGCATGTGGATGGAGGGGGGGGTTGTAGATTTATTACTGGTGTGTGCAGCTCCTGGAACAGGATCATCCTGCAAATGGGAATAAGAAGTTAGTGCTGTTAAGCCAGGAGGCGTTCAGTGGGTCACAGCTCATGGTGTGAGCTGTGTGACCACAGTGCACAACTGCACCCAGGGAGCTGCTGGGGCAGGATGTGGTAAGGTGCAAAGTGCTTTCACAGCTCTGGTACTCCTTGTTCTGCTCAGCATCAGCACGAGAGGAAAACAGCAGAGTCTCTTGTGATCACAGTGGTGACAGGGATGCTGTACAATTCACCTGGGGGTGCCACAGCAGCTCCTGTTCTGCTCAGCTCTGGTTCCAGCATGGAGCACGTGCTGACAGTAACAGGAGACACGAGAAAAGTGTTTCTGAAAGAGCCTCTCCAATTACCTTGTCTGAGTCTCTTTGCTGACAATTAAAACCAGTTGCTCTGTGACACTGAAAGTGTAATCCACCACTTGCCATCATTCAGGTGTCAGCTGTGTATATGTGGCAGCCCAGACCACAATTGCTCTGTAATTCTTCACACACAACATCCTCCTAGAAAGCATGAAACTGATACACAGCATTGCAGCGACCTTCCCAGTGGGAATGAGAGCTGTGGATGGCAGCAGCTTCCTGGTGCTTCATGTTTTAGGCTTTGGGACATGACTGTGGGTGAGGACAGGAGTGACAGGCGCTACCCCATGTGTGCTGCCATCCTGTGAATAGCAGGATGTTGTGGGGATGAATCCCAGCAAAACAAGTCCCAAAGCAGCACAGCCCTGCACACACTGGGTCTCGTGGGACTAATGGACCAGCAGAGTTGAAAAATCTCCAGATCAGAATAAATTAAGTCATAAAAGCATTACAAAGAGATAGGTTTAAGTAAACAAAAGTTCACAAAATCCCAGAATAGCTCAAGCTGGAGGGGATCCATAGGGATCATTGAGTCCAAACCCCTGCTCCTGGCAGGAGCACCCACAATGAAACCATAGGAACTGAGTGTTGTTCACACACTCCCTGATTTGGTGCTTCCCTGGGAGCCTCTTCCAGGCACTGAGCAGCCTCGGGGTGAGGAACCTTTTCCTAATGCCCCACCTGAACTGCCCTGAGGCAGCTTTGCTCCATCTCCTTGGGTCATTGCTGATCCCAGAAGGGGGAGATCAGCCCCTGCCCCCAGAGGAAGGTGCAGACAGCAATGGGGTCACCCCTCAGCTTCTCCCCTCCCAGCTGGATGGGCCAGATGGCCTCAGCTGCTCCTCCCAAGTCCTGCCCTTGGACCTTTCACCATCCTGGTCCCCTCCTCCAGCCCTCAGCTGTCCTTGGTGTGCTGAGGGGCCCAAACTGTCCCCAGGACTGCAGGTGAGGCTGCCCCAGAGCAGAGCAGGACGGTCACCCCCTCAATGTCCCCTGGGGCAGGGCTGGCCCTTGGGGCTGCCAGGGCTCCTGCCCCACTTGCCCTCAGCCCAAAGCCCCTGAGCCTCTTCCCCAGGAGAGCTCCCCAGGGTATCAGTTCAGTTCCCTTCCAACGGAGGTCACAGAAGTGGAAGTTGAGACCAGAGAGGGAAATGACCTATGTTACATCAGCCAGAGGGCTCACTGGGAAACCAAAGCTGTTTCCTCTTTTTTACCTAATGTAGCTGTTCCCTAGGAATTCATCATTCTGAATTCCTGATTGTTTTTTTGCAGAAAGCTTAGCCAAGAACATGGAACTGATGGGCTGCTTTTCAAGTAACTGAGTTTCACTCTGCTCCTGATTCAAATCTGTTTGACCTTCCCTCTGCAACATAAAAGGATTGATATGGGAAAACCTTTTTCTACGCTGTGCCACTGGAGTTTGATTTGAAAATGGGAAAGAAGACAGTAGCAGCAAAGGAAATATATTGTTACTTCCCTCCTGATTTGCAGGATCTGTTGCTTCATCAGAGTTTGCCTTAATATTTTTAATGTGGTAAAAATTTTGGAGCACAAAACTCAAGGTGGCAAGGAACTTGCAGATACACTGAAGCTGTGAGGTTGTTCCTACAGTCTCCAAAGTGAGCAGGAACACTCTGCACCCCGGGTTGGGGCAGCCAGAGCTGGCTGTCAGGGTGAGCAGGCAGACACCTCTCCCCAGCCCGTCCAAAACACAGCGAGGGCTCTTCTCAGAAGCTTTTTGTACATTTGGTTCTTGTGCTTCCAGCCTTGGTTCCTTCCACTCCTGCTTTCTGCAGCTAAGTGGGACAGACCTTGTGTGTCTGAAGACACTTCCTGTGTGGCCACAGAATACTGAAGGGTGGCCAGGTGAGCAGCCCTGGGCTTGAGCAGAGCTGTTTGTTTGGAAGTGCTACTAGAGTGTGTCCATCCTGCATTTCCACCTCAGGACCAGTCAGAGAGATCCTTTCACTTCCCAGGGATCTTGGGGATGCCACCTTAACATCCCCTGGTCCCTCTCTGGGGCTGGGGAAGGGATTCTCCCCTGGCACCAGAGCCAGACAAGGCCTGGGGAGCTGCTATGGTCTCCTTGGCTGCTTGTGAAGGACACATCCCCACTGGTCTTGTCTGATTCCTTTCAGAGGGGTGTTTGGTTAATCACACAGTCTTAGAATTGTTTGGACTGGGAGAGACCTTAAAGCTCATCTCATCCCACCCTCTGCCATGGACAGGGTCACCTTCCACTGTTCCAGGCTGCTCTGAGTCCTGTCCAGCCTGGCCTTGGGCCCTGTCAGGGACACAGGGGCAGTCACAGCTTTGCCAGGGCTTGCCCACCCTCATTCCTTCCCAGTATCCCATCGGCAGTGGGAGCCATTCCCTGTGTCCTGTCCCTCCATGCCTTGTCCCCAGTCCCTCTCCAGCTCTCCTGGAGCTGCTTTAGGCCCTGGCAGGGCTCCGAGCTCTCCCTGGAGCCCTCTCCTCTCCAGCTGAGTACTCCCAGCCTGTCCCAGAGCAGAGGGCTCCAGCCCACCCACAGCCCCGGTGCCTCAGTGAAGCATCACCCCGTGGCTCCGCGCTCCCCGTCCCGTCACACCGCGGCCCCGGTGCTGCCCGGCCGGTCGGGGGGGCCCCGCTTGTTGCCATGACGACGCCCCCCTTTCCCGCATCCCCCCGAAAAGCTGCGGCGGGGCTGAGCGCGGCCCTGCGGATGCGGCCCCGCGCGTTTCCACGGCGACGCCGCGGCTGAGCCGCCCCCTCCCCGCACTCCCCGCGCACACTCGGACCGGCCCCGCGCCCCTCCCGCTCCGCGCCCCCCGCACCCCGGGCCGGGCCGGGCCGGGCCGGGCAGCGCCGCCGGGGCTCGCAGCAGCGCCCGCCCGGGTGCAGGTAAGGAGCGCGGCCGGGCAGCGCCGGCCCGGGCTCGCCGCGTCCCCGCCCGGCCCCGCCGCAGCCCGGTGCCCGCACGGGCGAGGCCCCGGCCGGGCCAGCGGGGCCGGGCCCGGCGCCGTGGGGGGAAAGCGCCGACATCCCCCGAGCTGGAGCCGCGCCGAGGGGCTGGAGGGGCCGGGGCTGCCCTGGAGGGGGGCGGCGGGGCCGGGACGGCGGGAGCGGCTCGCTGGCTCCGGCCGGGCCGCCGCCGTGCCGCGGACACCGCCGCGCTGAGGGCGCGGGCCGGGCTGCGAGGTGTGAGGTGCGAGGTGTGAGGCGCTGCCCAGCCCAGCCCAGCCCTGCCCTGCCCGCGGGGACCGCGCTGCCCCGGGGGAGCCTCGCCGGGCCGGGCCGGGCTGGGAGCGCCTCGCACGGGGCACGCCCGGCCGCGCTCCTTCGGGTGTTTGCGGAACAGCGGGCGAGCAGCGCTGTCCCGGAGCCCGCAGTGACAGCGCTGCAGCCCTGGACAGGGCCCTGCGGCGTGCACGGCTTTGGTCCAGCCTAGCAGTGCACAAACAGCCCAGTGCACAGCTCATGGATTGATTTTATTAGTTTTAACCTGGATTTTTTTTACTAGTTATAAAAGAAAATAAAATACTGGACAGTTAAAAATATTTTGAGGTCAGGTATCCATCCTGTTTAGATGTTTCCATCTGTGTGTGGAAAAACATCCAAAGTGGGCAGGTGTGGGTGGTGAGCGGGGCTGGTGCCCTCAGGGGCAGTGGGAGGTGGGGCTGACAGTTCCCATTGTGCCCCTCAGAAGTGCCCGGGCTTCAGGCTGCCTGCTGGCCTTGGATGGTGTCACCTCGACCCCTTTGGAGTGGCACATGGGATTGCTGGTGACTGCTCATCCTCCCCACCTGTGGGTCTGAGCAGATCCACAAGCCTGAAAGCTGGTCCTGGTGCCAGCGAAACTCCTGGGGACAGCAGGTGACAGCCAGCCTGAGTGTCTCTGCTTTGTCGTCCGTGTCTGAACCTAAAGCTGAAGGCAGCTTGCTGCTTTATTGCCCTTCTCCCTCTGATCTCTATTTCCACAGAATCTGTTTTCTCTTTTAAAATGTGTAACATGAACAGCCTCTTACTGCACAGAGGGACATTTCATCTGGTTTTGAGATGTTGATAAATACCGTGGCCCACTCCAAACCTCACCATGCTGCTCAAGAACCCAGGAGCAGAACTTTGAGGCCTCTGGTTTGTTACAGAGCAGGCATTTGCTCCTGGCTTTGGAGCAGCAGTCATTTGGAAGGGAAGAAGTATGTGATTGTCTTTCTCCACTGGGCCACCTGCCTGTGCCAATGTGTTCCTGAGTGCTCCGGTGTGTATACAAAGCAAATATTTTCTGCAGTGCCATTAGTCTCCTAAACACCTGCCCTGGGCAATGCCAGAAGTCAGGGGAAGGTCCAAGAGAGCAGCTCTCAGTCCTGCAGGTCTCTGTAGTGCTCTGGTGTGCCACTTGCAATTTTAGCATGATCCCAGCTGGTGGTCTTTCTTAAAGGCTGAATTTTGCCACTGGAGGTAATTAAAAATCCATATCTCGGCTGATGGCAAGGATGGGGAAGTTCTCTGTTATGGCTGAGGAAATTCCTGAAAAAAGTAATTTACAGAATCTCAGGCTGGGGGAGGCTGGAGGGACCTCTGGAGGTCACCTTGCCCAGCCCCTGCTCCATCAGGGCCAGCCAGAGCCGGCTGCCCAGGATGTGTCCAGGTGGCTTTTGAGTCTCTGCAGGGATGGAGACTCCCCCAGCTCCCCGGGCACCTGCGGCAGTGCTCGGCCACCCTCCCAGTGCAGCAGCGTCTCCTGAGCTCGGAGGGCCCCTCCTGTGGGTCACTCTGTGCCCGAGGCCCCCGGGCTGTCCCTGGCCCTGTCCCCTCTGCAGCCTCCCCCTGGCTTTTCATGCCCAGGCATGAGATGCCCTGAGCCTGCTCTGCTCCAGGCTGGGCAGTGCCAGCTCTCTCAGCCTCTCCTCATGGCAGAGACGCTGCAGTCCCTCCATCAGCTTCATGGCCCTGTGCTGGACTCTGTCCAGTCTGTCCCTGTGTCACGTCCTGGGCAGCCCCGCTCTGGGCCCAGCACTCCAGGGCTGCCTCACTGCTGTGGAGCAGAGGGAAAGGATCCCCTCCCTCTGCCAGCTGTGACACAGCTCCCAGTGCAGCCCAGGACGCTGTTCTGCATTGCTGCAGGAGCACATTGCTGCCCCATGGGCATCCTGGTGTCCAGCAGGACCTTTCCTCCCAGCTGAGCAGCCCCCAGCATGTACCAGTGCAGGTTTTAGGAATATTTAAAATTCTGAGAAGCCAGTAAGTGAATACCTGTCAATATTGTTTGAATTAGAGTACTTCAAGCCAATTTTGTGATGAGCAGGAGCACCTCTCTCGAGCAGATCCTGCTTTATAAGCACTGTCAGGGCTGTGCAGCAGCTCCATGCTGGGAGCTGCTCTCTCCATGCTCCTCCGTGCCCTGTTGCACACAGCATGTCCCTCCTCTTCCCAAGGGATGGATCACTCCCTGGTTCTGCTGTGGTTTGGTGTGAGGGTGAGGCTGTGGCAGGGCTGCAGGCTCCTGTGTACAGCAGCCCTGGAGATGCTCTGCCAGCCCCAGGGTCACTGCTCTGGAGCGTGGCTGTGCCAACACCCAGCAATCCCTGCTGGATGAGCTAAACCTCTGTGAGCAGCAGGGCCAGTGATCCTGGTTGCCTTTAAGTGTGTGTTTTGTGACCTGTGTCCCTGTCTGTGTGGCTGTGTGCACAGGCTGGTGTCCCCAGCTCTCTCAGGGTGGTCAGACTCAGGAGCCTTGTGCTGATGCCCTTCCCTGCTGGGCCGTGCAGGGACCCCTTCTCTGTGCTGGTGCTTTGTCTCCTGAACCTGGGGCTTTGTGTCTGACAGAGACAAACTGTTCAGAGGCACTGATCCTGCTGTCAGAACTGGTTGGAGTAGGCTGGTAGGGTCTGGCTGCAGACAGGCTCCATGTGCACAGCCCTACCCTTACACAGGGCACAGGATTCCAGGAGCAAAGCAGGAGGGAGCAAAGCACTCCCACGAGAATTGTCTTGAAAAATTCCACCCTCCAGCAGCGCATTGTGGTGTTCTCTAGAAGGACCGTGTAGGGGTTTCTTGGGGTGGCTTTCCTCCTTCCTGGCTTTTCCAGCCAGGGATCCTTGGCTGTCCCTCAGCAGAAGGCAGAAGTGAGGAGTGGATGTGATCCAGTCCTTGTGGATTGGATGGGCAGCTGGCTGAGGAGTGGGGCTCACCTGCACTCTCTGTAAGATGTGGAGTTACACCCAACACCAGGCAAAATGGAGAGCTCAGGGCCTCACTGTTTGGGCCAAAACAGCTGCAGCTCCACTGTTGCTCTTTTAAAAGCTGGTTTGGGGAGTGGGGGGTTTCAAGGCTGCTGAGCAGCCTGATTCTGGTTTGTCTGGGTGGGCACGGCTTTATGAGATGCCACTGGGACAAGTGTAAGCCAAAAGCTTTTTAAGACAACAGCTAAAAAAACCCACAAAGATAAATAAATGAAGCTTTTGTTCAATACTTAGGGCAATCAGCAGAACAAATCATAGAATATCCTGAGCACAATAATCCTGGTCCAACTCCTGTCCCTGCACAGACACCCCAGCAATCCCATCCCGTGCCTGAGAGCTTTGTCCAAATGCTCCTGGAGCTCTCCTGGGGAGCCTGTTCAATGCCTGACCACCCTCTGGGGTTAAAACCCTTTCCTAACACCCGAGGAAAAGTGTGAGTTTGGTTTGCTCATTGTTGTGCTAATTTGCAGATTTGCATCCTGGTAGGCTGAGTAAAGACCAGGCTGGGTAAAGACCAGGCTGGGTAAAGCCCTGAGCAGCCGGGTGTGATCCCACCCTGCTGGGAGCAGAAGGTTGAATTACAGACCTTGGGGGTTCCTGAATTACCCTGTGATGATCTGGGTCGCTCCAGGGCTTGCAGGATCCCCTGAAGGTTTCTCTGAGGCAGTGGTGCCTTCCTGGGCTCTGGCACCAGAGCTGTCTGAGCTCTGGGTCCCCCTCCATGGCCTTTTGTCTGCCCCCAGAAGGAGCAGGGTTATCCAAGTGCCTTTGTCCTGCTGTGGCAGTGGTGCTGGGGCAGGTCCTTGCTGTGGCTGAGCCCCTTTTCCTTGTGTAGCACTCCTGACCTGGGATACTTCACCCCAGGTTGTTTTTATTACAAAAATTAGTGAATTTACATTATATAATTGATATATTAGTAGTAAGTGTTTGAAGGGGTTAATATTTTTTAAACATTTATGTAATATTAACAATAGTTACTATTTATTGGTATTACTTATAGAAAGCAGAAACAACAGAAGTTATGAGTTTATTGCTAACAATTCTAAAGCTTTGAATCATTGGGGAATCAGCTGATGACTTTGTAGATAGAATTTGATTGACTTTTTAAAATGTTTTGTTTTTAGGGAGATTTTTGGTAGTTGTATTATTAGTAGCACTTGTATCTTTATATGGTGATTTCATTCCTTGGGAAACACTTTTTACAGTAAAAGATTTGTGTTTATATTTGGGACAGTACTGATTTGTATAGTGTCCTTCCAGGGACTTTTATACCAGAATTTAAAAAACTGTGAGCTGCAAACAACTGTGAGCTCCAATCCTGATTCTCAGTCCTCCAGGGGATGGAGCTCTGCAGCCCAGGTATTGTGCCATGCCCACACGTGTGGGGTTACCCCAGGAATGCTGAGTTAAAAGTTTACCAGTGTGTGCTCTGGCTGATGGGAGCAGTGTTGGTGGGAAATTCTTGTCTGACACCATGGAAGCCCCTGACAAGATGTGGGAGAGCCCTGGGAGCTGCTGAGTTTCAGCTGTGGCAAGAGTGTGCTTACCGGTTCACACCAACAGTGTTCTTGCTGCTCATGTGTGGCCTTGGAACAGTTTTGGGCTTGGAATAGAATTTGTGCTCCATGTGTGCTCAGAGGGCAGGAGCTGGGACAAGGAGTTAGGGAGAAGTTTCCACCAGCAGCACAGAAATTGCTCCAGCCAGGGGTGCTGGGGAGAGCACTCACACTGCTGCTGAGGGACAGGTGAGGGGAACAGGAGGCTCAGTTGGTGGGAGAATGGTGGCATTGTTCAGGTTGTAGAGGATCTGTGAGGTCACTGAGTCCAACAGCAGGGCAGGGCCGTGGGCTGGATGGGCTCCTCTGCCTCCTGGGGGGCTCCCACCCCTCTGAGCTGGGCTGCCCCAGTGCTGGGACATGGCCCTTGGCTGCAGAGAGGCCTTTCCCAGGAGGCTGCTGGAGGAGGGCTTGTCTGGAGTTAAGGTCTAAATCTCAGTTGTTTAGCTTTTCCAGTTTAAAGAGCAGCACCACAATCTGTAATCCAAATTCATTCTGTTCACCCTGAGCTCACAGTGTCCACAGCATCAACCTAGACCTGTAAGGATTTGGAGAGTGACCCACAATCACAGAATATGTCAAGCTGGAAGGGACACCTAAGGACCATCAAGTGCAACTCCCTGCTCCTGGCACCCAAAATGAAACCATAATGTTGACTACTGCTTCACATTTCCTGTGCAAATATTTGCTTTTGTGTTCACATCAGAGACTGTGAGAAAATCAGGTGGAGCATCATAAACCTGAGCACTGGACCTCGTTATTTCTCTTCATTTCTAGGCATTTCCAGTCCCAAGTTCTGTTTGAATTTTAAAAAAAGGCAGAAGTTCCCACAAAATGAAGAGTTGTCCTTGTAATATTTGACCCAATGATAAATCAAGGATTGACTGGATTTAAATGCCAAAAAAAGCAGATAGATCCCTACTCGTTATTAGGAAGCACTGAAGCAGGTTGGCTGCTAAATCCATTTTGACTTTCACTTGGAGTCTGTTGTCCAGATTAGTTTTTCAGTTCCTTCAGCTGTTTTGACACTTAACAGTGCTTTTCTACACCTGGCGAGCCTGAAAGGTCTGTGCTGTTTGCCAGTTGAGCATCAGGTGTTTCTGGTCACAAACCTGACAGAACCAGGAGAAGTAGATCCTCCCCTCAACGTGATTGCACCTTCCCACTCTGTGCCCTCTGATTGTAAGACCTTTATCTGAATGTCTCAGGTTTTAAAATTCCAGACTTTGTCCTTTGTAGCCCAATTCTTAGCTAACCCTGCTTCACTGAAATGAGTATCCTGTTTTCCACATGGATGTCTTTCCTTTCAAATTCAAATTGCATCAGGAGGGGCCAGGCCATGGCTGTGGTCCTCTGTGTGGCCCTGCCTCCATGCTGGCAGCAGGTGCTGTGGAGAGGGTGCTGCTGACACTGGAGCCCCTGGGCCCATGGCTGGGGGCTGTTCACAGCCAGCCAGGGCCAGTGGTGCCCTCGAGGCCCTGACACTGCTTCCTCCTTGAGATTCATGGCCAGACAGTCTTGGTTTGGAAAGACAGGTGCCTGCTGAGGAAGGCAGGAGCCTCCCCTGAAGTGGAGAATGTGAATCCCTCCACCACCACCTCCAAATTGTCATTTTTAAATTAAGGGGCTCTCGGGCAAAAAATATGGGAGCAGGAATTAACAGTTCTTTACTAGGGAAGAAAATAAAATTATAAAATAAACAATGCAGTACACTAGAACAACACTGACAGAGTCAGAACCAAACCTGACAACCTGTTGGTCAGGTTGTTGGTAGCAGTCCCATTGGAATTGTGGCTCAGCCCTCCTGGAGTGTCAGGGCTGGTTCTGCTGGAGCAGGGATCCTGTAGAGAAGGATGTATTCTTCCTCTGACAATCCAGTGAAAGAAGAGGCAGCTGCTGTTCCTCTGGGAAATCCAGAGCTGTGCTGGTGTTCCAGAATCTCCAGATTGTATCTGGGTATCAATGCTTGGCTCCTTCCTCTGGGCTCACATCTCCCAATGGGATACTCTAGTTCTTATCAGCCATGCAGCGACATTCAATAGCTGCTATCAGCAGATGATCCCCCCCCCGGGAGGAGTGGGTGTGGAAGAGATAAGAAAAACTAAAACTGCCCAGTTAATAGAAGACAACTGCCATCCAGATGGCAAATAGAATACATCTTGCCTTGCAGTCTGGGACAGACAGGTTGAGCATCACCAGTCCTGTGAAAAACTCACAGCTGGGGTACAGGGACATCAAGTTCCCCACAGTAACTCACACCCCCAGTAACTGCTGTCACTTGTGAAATTCTCTTGCAGCCACTTGGAAGATCAAGGGTGACACTCGGACGGGAGAACAGGAAGGGGCCTGCAGGGAGCTCTGCCTGCTCCTGGGTGGGATTTGGCAGCCCTCAGTCACAGTCTGTCATTGTGGGCCCCCGTGGGAGCCAGCAGCAGCTTGTGGTGGACCTGTGCTCGTGCCATCTTATGGTGGTGCCAGGTGAGAAAAAACCCTCAGCATTTGCAGGCTCTGAGCTGGCACCTCACAACAAGGGCTTGCATGGGGCATGCTGTGACCTTCATGTGGGTTCAGTAGACCTTGAATGCATCTCGCAGGGGTTTCTGCTGGGAGAGACCATCCTGTGCAGTTACTTTCTCGCTCCTTTGTTGTGTTTATACTGGTACCCAACTTGATTTCTTCCCTGCTGCCCTGCAGGGCCTCGCTGTGTGCCCAGGCAAGGTGATGGAGAGCAGGGGGGAGATGGAGGTGGTGAGGAGCTCCAAGGGCAGTGCTGCTGGGGAGGTCAGTGTCCACGTGGTCACCACCGAGAGCACGGTGCAGAGCACCCACCTGCCCACCACTGCCTTCATCATTCCAGGTATGTGGAGCAGCCCCCTCCACCTGCTGCCTCCCCAGCCTGGACACCCACACTCCTTGTGGAGCTGTGCTCCTCCCAAACCTTGGGAGGCAAAGCCAAGCTGCTGTTACCATCTTGGATGTTCTCTGTGGCTATCCCACATCACTTGGACTGTTTATGGTCAATCAAATCTTCCTGAGCTTTAAACTGAGGCCCTGATGGGAGGGGCCCTGAGCCAGGGCAGCGCAGTGTGCTGGTGCCTGCTCTGCAGGGCTGTGGCATCCTGGGCTGCTGCATTAGCAGGGAATCCCAGAATAGCTCAAGCTGGAGGGGATCCATAGGGATCATTGAGTCCAAACCCCTGCTCCTGGCAGGAGCACCTACAATGAAACCATAGGGACTGAGTGTTGTTCACACACTCCCTGATTTGGTGCTTCCCTGGGAGCCTCTTCCAGGCACTGAGCAGCCTCGGGGTGAGGAACCTTTTCCTAATGCCCCACCTGAACTGCCCTGAGGCAGCTTTGCTCCATCTCCTTGGGTCATTGCTGATCCCAGAAGGGGGAGATCAGCCCCTGCCCCCAGAGGAAGGTGCAGACAGCAATGGGGTCACCCCTCAGCTTCTCCCCTCCCAGCTGGATGGGCCAGGTGGCCTCAGCTGCTCCTCCCAAGTCCTGCCCTTGGACCTTTCACCATCCTGGTCCCCTCCTCCAGCCCTCAGCTGTCCTTGGTGTGCTGAGGGGCCCAAACTGTCCCCAGGACTGCAGGTGAGGCTGCCCCAGAGCAGAGCAGGACGGTCACCCCCCTGATGTTCCCCTTGGAACTGCCAGGGCACTGCTGGCTCCTGTTCCACTTGCCCCCAGTCCCTGAGCCCCTTCCCCAGGTAGCTCTCCAGTCTTGCTCCCCAAGTCATACAATTTTCATGATTATCCCATCCTAGGAGCAGAATCCAGGTCTTACTCTTGTTTCATGTACATGGTGATTGGATTTCCCAGCTGTCTGGTCTATCCAGATCTCTGTGTAAGGCCTCTCTACCCTCAAGGGTGTCCACAGCTCCTCCTAATTTAGTGTCATTGATAAAATTACTTAATGGACATTCTGCATCCAGATTATAAAAAATTTAGGAGCACTGTCCCTAAACCCTGGGGAGCCCCACTGGCGATGGCCACCAGCCTGATGTGCACCCAGTTCCTGTAAGGCTTTGAGCCCAGCTGCAGGAGAGCCATCATCCAGTTGTTCACCCAATGGACAGTGGACTGGATGAGCTCTGTACTGGACTCTTTGTCCAGAAGGCCACTGTGAGAGGCAGCATCAAGGTTTTGCTAAAATCCTAAAAACCACATCTATTGCCTTTGCTTGGTCAGCTTAGTGGGGTGACCTTTCCATAAAGGGAAACTCAGTTGGTTAACCAGGACTTCCCCTTGTGAACCTGTGTTGGCTGTGACCAAGGACTGCCTTGCCTCTCCAGTGTTTTTCAGTAACTCCCAGAATAACCCTCTCCCTAATTTTACCAAGCACTGTAGTGAGACTTACAGGCCTGTAATTATCAGTCATCCTTCTTACCCTTCTTGAAAATTGGGACAATTTTGAGCAGCTGACCAGTGTCTTTTAGGAGGTGTTTGAGCAAAGCATGGTTGTGTGTTAGGTGAGATCAGGGGTGTTCTCTAGAAGCAGATCTCCCAATTTTTCCTGGTGCCTCAGTTCTCATTGCAGAGAGGTCCTGCGTTGCACAGTATATTCCTTTGAAACATAACTAAACTGAAAATTGCAGTGCAGGAGCAAACTCCAGTCACATCAGGGCACTCTGTCACATCAGGGCACTCTGTCACATCAGGCACAGAGACAGTCTGAGATCAGGCTGAAGTGGAAACCCTTGAATGTGGACAGTGTTGGTGCCACCCCCCAGCATGAGCCATTACTGGCAGCAGATTTTTTTGCGTCACTCTGCTTCCTTTGTGCTTTGGCCCACAGCAGAGCCCTCACCTGGGAGGCCATGTCCTCTGGGATCCTGGGCTGCCTTTGAGCCTTGTTTGCATCTGTGAAGTGTTCTGTGTATGCCTCTGGTTGTTTGTCTCCTTTCTTCCCCTCTCAAGCAAACGCCACTGCCATCAACCTTCCCACGAGCACCTTAGAAATCCAGCGATTCCCCCGGGAGCCCCAGAGGAGCACAGGGGCCGAGAGGCCAGACAGGGGAGCAGGGAATGAGCCCATCACTGCTGCTGTCATTCCCCAGATCAGCGGGGTGCAGACCTGCAGCACAGTCCGTGTGCTGGAGTGGAAAGATGGGGTGGCAACTTTGCCTGGGAGTAACCTGCGGGTAAGTGTAGCCCTGGGCCGCTGGCTTTGAGCCCTCTGCCTCTCCCCACAGCTGCTTGTGCTTGTAAATCCCACAGGATGTGCCAGGAAGGGAGCACCAGGATGTGCCCTGATCCCCCTGCACCCCAGCTGGAGGATCCCTCAGCTGCCCCAGCTCTTTTCCTGCCCCATCCCTGTGGCCCTGCCATCCTGGCAGCTTAGCACAAGCTCACAGAGGTGCCTGGGGGGCTGCAGCAGCTCTGCCCTGCACAAGGAGGCACAGGGGTGCTACGTGCTGTGCAGGACATCTTCCCTTCCAACCTGTGCTGTGCCCCAGCTCCTGCCCTCACCCTGGGAGCAGCAGCCTTGTGCTCATCTGGCATTGGGTGCCTCAGGGGTACCCTCAGTGCATGACAGCTTGCAGAAAATACTCCCATTTCTCAGCTGTGGCTCAGCCTCAGGACACCTCATCCTCCAGCTCCCCACCTGCCAGCTCCAGCTGAGTGCCCAGTACGGGCTGCAGGCAGGGCACCTTCACAGGGCCTGGGGTGCTGTGCTCAGAAGAGTTGTCCTCTTGTCAGACACACCGATGACCATCCCTGTCCCTCATTTGCAGAACAGCCACCAGTTGTATGTCTGTCTGCTGAACTCTTTCCTTGCTTTTTGTCCATTGCCAGTTTCGGATCAATGAGTACGGCACGCTGAAGGTGGTGAGTGCTGATAAGCTGCCTCCTGTGGAAGCCGTGAAGGAGGCTCACACAGACAAAGATGGGGACTCCGAGGTGGCACCCCCCAGCAGAGACAATCCTACTGTGGCTCAGGGTAAGGGCACCGTGGTGGCACTTGCGGGGTGGGTACCAGCATGCAGCAGATGCTGCCTGGTGTCTGTCTGTCTGTCTGTGTCCCTCGGCGTGGCTCACTGCTGCTCCTGCTGTCGCAGACGTGCCGGAGCAGCCCGCGGCAGAGGGGCTGTGCCACTGCGATACCTGCGGCCGCAGACACGTGTGGGACGGCGCCCGCGAGGGCAGGGGCTTCTGCAGCGAGCACTGCCACCAGCAGTTCAAAGAGAGGTAAGGGAAGGGGGCTCTGGGCCCTGCCCATCCCTCTGCCCTGCCCCACGTGCTCCAGGGAGGGCTGGGAGCGCCTCTGGCAGGTGCTGGGGGTCCTGTGTGTTCCGCTTGTTCCTGGAGCCAGGCTGGGGGAGGAAAACTTCCCAAGGGAGCCAGATTCTCTCCTGCCCAATGTGTGGCCTGGTAAACACATATCTGCTGCAGCAGGAGGTTGCTGCAGTGGCTTCCAGGCTGAGCAGCAGTGGAAGGCCACAGGTCATGGGGGCATTTCCAGCCCTACTCCTGACCAGTGTGTGACTGTCAGGATTTGTTTTCCAGCATCTCTGGTGCAGCTTAGATCCCTGCTACTAAACTAGATCCCTTTTGATTCATCCCTGGGTTCAGGTTTCTAACACCCACGTGTGTGAGGGTGACTCTGGCCTGTCCCTGGCTCTGACTCTCGGCAACTTGTGTGCATATGTCCCTTCACAGGAGGAGTGGGGGCATGTATGAGTAAGAAATAGGGGGACAGGGATTGTCCAGCAGCCCCTCCCTTGCTGAAACCCCAGGCAGTGTCACCGTGCTGCACTGGCTGCAGTGCTTGGCCCTCCCTCCCTCTGTGCAGGTCTGTCATTGTGGAAAACTCTGCCAGCAGCACCAATGCCACAGAAATCCTCAAACCTGTGAAGAAACGAAAGAGGAAGGACTATCAGAGCCCCTCGGAGGAAGAATATGAGTCTGAGCAAATGGTAGGACAAAGACAGGGAGGGGGTGGGTGTGGCCAGTGTCCAGGGGGATGGAGGCCAGCCCTGTGTGCACAGATCTCATCGTGCTGCTCTGGGCTCTGGCAGCTGCAGGTCAAAAGGGAAACAGGTTATCCAAAATGCCAAAAAGACTTGGATGTGTGGAGATGAAGGCTGGTTGTTTGGCATGTGGAGCACTGAGGCCTGGCCAGTGCCAGACTCTCCCGGCTGGGCTGTAGGCACTGACCCATCTCAGCTGCTCTCTTGAGTCCAGGCCACCACAGTAAGGGTTGCAGTAGGAGGGTGTCTGTCTGTGTGCTGGGTGTCCTGGGGAGGGGAGAGACTTTGACAAGGTAAGGAAGCTCTGCTTGCCAGCCCTGCCTGGAGCAGGTCCAGTCCAGGTGTGATGGCTGCCAGTGAGCATTGAAGTCCCTGCAGGCTCCCACCACCAGATTCTCTGGCATTCCATCTCTGGGCCAGGCATTGGTCACACTGTGGACCTTGTGGGGATGCACTATGGCCCTGGGCACCAGTGTGAGGATACAACACACAGCCAAAAGCCTCTGGGTTCTGTTCTGTCTGTTCTCATGTCAGGAGGAAAAGCAGGAAGAGAGGAAAAGCTCGGTGGAAGACTCTGCCATGAGCAATGTGGAGGCTGAGGCGTGGAACGGGAGCCAGCACGGTACGGAGGGCGGGGTGGCTGTGGGGTGAGCACTGCTGCTGGGGCTGGGGTCCCCCTGCAGGGCTGGACCCTTCTGGTGCTCCTGCAGGGTCACACACCCACTGCAGTGCGCTGGCACGTGGTCCTGAAGGCTTGTGAGCTCCTCTGCTTGCTTGATCCTGCTCTCTCTGTCTCTTTCCATTTCTCTCCTTTCCTCTCTCTCTCTCCATGGGAAGGGGGCACCCCACGGACACGGCACTGGCCCCTGCTGGGCAGAGCTTCCTGTCCCTCCCCTCAGGAGCTCAGTTTGTTACTGGCTCCTGGGCACTGTGTTTGCCACCAGGGACGCTGTCCTGAGCACAAACAGGACTGCACCACGTGGGGCTTTGCCCTCCTTTGGGATGGGCTCATGGGGAGCTTCCCTCCTGGCATCAGGAGCTCACAAGTTTGGGAGCTGCTCATGTAGGTGCAGTGCCACTGAGGCCATGTGATTTGGGGTTGTCTCATCCTGTGGGATCTATTCTGTATCAGAGATCTCAAAAGCAGAGCTGTCAGCATGGAAGGAGAGGAGACAAGCTGAGGGATGCAGTGTGTGCTTGGCTGTTTTTTTTCCCTGTAGTGTCAAGGAAAACTTTGGGAAACATGAAAATTAACATTTATGGAAAATAGACATTTATTTGTCTTTGAGTACTGAAAGTCATACGCAAAATAATTTTAAAATTAAACCGTTTCAACTTCATACTCTTCTCCATGACCAAGTGCAGGGACAGTGGCAGGGCCAGGTGTCATTAACCCCTGATGTTACAGTCAAAAAGGAATCTCAGATATCATACCTGCTTCTCACTGAGCCCTGAGCATGTAACCTTCCCTGCTGCATACAAGTAAGCAGTGATGAGCTTTGTTACTTCAGCATTTTATTTTCTCTTATTTTAGTAGTACTTCAGCAAACAAAATACACACCTGGATGCCTCAGTGCAGCAGTCAGTGTATGCTCTGACTCTTGGTGTATTTGTCATTCCCCAGAAGTGCAGAGGTTGTACTCACAGATTCCCCAGCAATGCCTGGCACATTTTTTATGTCCTAAGGAATAGTAAAAGTATTTTTCACTCTGAACATGTCAGCAAAGCAAGGTCAGTCACCTTGCTCACTGAAATCCACCTTTAATGTCTTCCCTAAGTTTCTGGTTTTTTTCCATCTCCTCTTCCCCTAAGCCCAAAGGAGGGAGGAGTTGGTCTGTTTTCCCCCTGCATTTCTAGCCTGCCCTACCTGAGGCTGGCTGCCATGGCTAATCTGTGTCTGAAAATTCCTCAGCACTGGAATAGGCACAGCACCCCTGGAGTCCCTTCAGCTGCTGCAAATTAGGGAGACAAAGAAGCTGGAGAGCAAGAGACTTGGGCTGTGTTTCACAGGTCTTGGGCAAGGCCTTTGTGGCCTTCTCAAAGGCATGAAGGGTCACCTCCCTGCCTGTGAAGAGACAGTGCTGTCTTCTTTGTCACATGGGCAGGCACATCTCTAGGGCATCAGAGTGGCCTTGCTGTGCCATGGGGCTCAGGTGCTGTCTCAGAGCAGGGGATGGCAGAGCTGGGATGTGAATCTGCTGCTGCTTTGACTGTCTAGGAGCCCCTTGCAGCTGGGAATGATTCCCAGACCTGTGCATGGATCCTGCTGGCTGCCACAAATCCATCCTGTGTGGACATAGCAAAAGTTCTGGCTGGAAGAGAGTCTGGTCAGGTGTGGTGTTCTCCTGGCTCGTCCCTCACACTCTCTGCAGTCCCAGACTCGTTGGAAGGGACCTTAAAGCCCATCTGGTCCCACCCCTTGCCATGGGCAGGGACACCTTCCAGCAGCCCAGGTGCCTTCCTAGGACATGGTTCAGGACATTTGGGTCACGGGGGGCTCCTGGCTCTGCCCCTCGTGGTGCAGCCAGCCAGGTTTGCTGCAGAAGGGGCTCTGGCAGGATGGTGCTGAGCTGAGCAGGGATGCAGGACCCTGTGTGAGAGTGGGGCAGGGCTGGAGCAGCCCCTCAGCAGCGTTTGTGTGCGTTTGTGCTGCGCTCAGGTGCCAGTGAGGAGAAGAAAGAAGGCTGGTCTTGGGCGTCCTACTTGGAGGAGCAGAAAGCTGTCGCTGCCCCTTTAGATCTCTTCCAGGATGTGAGTTGGGATTTTCCTGTCTTTTTCCCTCTTTCATCTTCTCTTTTCTTTCCCTTTTTTTTCCCACCCCTCCTCCTTCTCCTCTCTTCCTTGCTTCCCTGTTTTGGGGGACTCTGAGCAATACCCAAGCTCCAGTTGTCAGCTGGAAGTGCCAGGGCAGCCTCCAGTTTTGATTTGCCCAGAGTCCCACTCCCCAGCAGGTGCTGGCCCCATCCCAATCACCCCACCTTTGCCTAGGACACTGCTGTGGCTCTGGCAGGGTGGTGGAGCCTTTCCAGCCCTTCCTGGAGCCACGTGGGCTCTCCTGAGGCTGTGCTGCAAACAAGTCAGGCCTGTGTCCTGCTCCCCCTGCTGCAGCTTTTACCCCAGGGACACCTTGCCCTGCCAATAGCAAGAGATGTAAATCCATAAGGAGATGTAACACTGTTTTTTTAGCTATGGGAAAAAATAAAATTTGGATGATAACATAACCTGTGGCCCACAGTCTCTTGGTCCCAGCAGCTCCCATTGCCTGGTGGTTGCTCCCCTGGTGGGTTCTAGACCCAGCTCCCTGTGTTGGTTTTACATTGTAGTTTAATTTTTGTTTCCAGTACCAAGTAGCTTCCCAGCACAAGAATGGCTTTAAAGTGGGGATGAAGCTGGAGGGGATCGACCCACAGCACCCATCAATGTACTTCATCCTGACAGTGGCTGAGGTAAGGAGCCTCCAGTGCCCCTGTTCCTTGGTTCCTCCTGGCTCAGCCACAGGCTCTGGGGCAGGGGAGGTGCTGCCAGCTGGCCCCTGGAGGAGACAGGGCCTGTCACTGCAGGAGATGAGCTGCTGCTGCAGCAGCTCAGGCAAACAAGCAGGGAGTTCCTTGCCAGCTTGGAGGGACAGGACACAGCACTGTGGAGCTGTGTTGGTCTCTGTCACCCTGACACAGCACAGGGGGAGGGATTGTGGTGATGGCAGCAGCTTGTGTCCCTAAGACAGGTCTGAGCACTTGAGATGCAGGGTATGGAGGCATCCCACTGCTCCTCTTGTGTCCTTGCAGATCCACTTTCCACTCAGCCTTGTGGCAGCTGGACCAGCCTTTCCTTGCAGAGCTCCCCGGGCAGCCAGTGTGGCATTTAGCCAAAATCCCTGCACCAGCAGCTTCCCAGGCTGCAGAAAAGGGAGTCTGTGCACTTGCTGGATCCAGCAAGGCTCTCCACCATGGCATATAAAGCACCAGCCTGGACATCCCTCCTTTGGGCTGGCTTGTGGTGCCTTTGCACTGACCTTGTTCCATTCTGGTCACCCTTTGAGTCTGGTTTGTGCCTCCCAGTTTGGGCACCGCTCTGTGGTTGACTTTTGGCTTCCCAAAGTGGCCCATGCTGAGCTGGTGTTTGGGAGGGGGTGTGATGCTCAGCCAGGGACAGCAGCAGGTCTCCATGGCCCTTTCCTTCTCCTCCCTCCCTGCTGGCAGGTCTGTGGCTACCGGATGCGTCTCCACTTCGACGGCTACTCCGAGTGCCACGACTTCTGGCTAAATGCTGACTCCCCTGACATCCACCCTGCTGGCTGGTTTGAGGAGACAGGGCACAAACTCCAGCCCCCCAAAGGTAAGGAGTTCATTCAGCTCGGGTGCTGGGTCCTGCTGAAGGAGGAGGATGAAGAGTGGGCCAAATGTAGAGCTCGAGGTGGGGACACGGTGGCTCCATGGGGCCATGGAGGGATGCTGCTGTACTGGTGGAGTTCCACAGGACAACATTTCAGGCACCCATCTCTGCTTGCTCACATTTTCTGCAAAGCCCTGTTGCTCTGGACCTCCCAGTGCCACCAGCTGTGCCCCAGGGCAGGCAGGACTGGAGGAGGAGCTGTGCTCTGGATTTCCACTCCACTGCTCATGTTTCCTAACACCCCTTCAAAAGCACCCATCAGCTCTCAGCCATAGGCATTGGGCACCCCAGGGCTGCTGCAGATCCTGTCTGCCCACAGCAGGGTATGCTGGCAGGGTGACAGTGGCTCAGGGATGGCCAGGCTCACCCTCACATCCTCCTGGCTGTGAGCTCACTGCTCTCATTTCTCTTCCTGAGGGGTTGTAGGTTATAAGGAAGAGGAATTCAGCTGGACAAACTACCTGAAGTTAACAAAGGCTCAGGCAGCTCCTAAGCACCTCTTCATGGTCCGAAACACTGTGAGTAGCAGCATCTCCTTCCTGCCAGAGCCTACAGGTTCAGGTGTGATTCTTCCCCTCCAGCTGAGCAAAATGCTTCCACCAGCATTGGGCTTTGCTTTGTCCATCCCACACCCCTCAAGCCCACAGTGCTCAAGAGCCAGGAGTATGTGGCACACTTTGTTGCTCAGGATCTGTAGCTTGGGCACTCTTTGGTATGCCCAGAATTGCTGCTGGTCTGATTCTATTTCCTCTAGGTTATCTCATGGACAATTTAAAATCAAGTATTGATGAGGAGAAGTAACTGCTATTCTCAACAATTACTTAGATAAAATATATCACCTAATGTTTCAGAAGTATAGTTCCTTTGTCTCTTTGTATCTTTGTTGTTTCTGTGTCTGCCTATTTTTTTTCACATGGAAGCTTGGGTAAGGGAAGTGGGAATATAGGAGAATGAAAATGCTGATTATTCCTTTATCAGCTGCAGAGGAAACTCACCCTACTGACAAATCAGCCTCTCCAAGTTATTTATTGTGTCTAAACCCTGCTGTTCATTGCTGCAACAACCCCACCAGTGTGTGTGATTGTCCTAGGGTGACGTGTGAGTTTGCTTTCTGGAGGGGCCCTCTTTTGGAAGTTTTCTCCCAAATTTGCCCTAAACCAGGACAGTGATGCAGTGTTTTGTACAGAATTTGGATCTAAGAAATAAAGGCAAGGAAGGAAGAGTGCCCCATGCCAGCTCCTCCTGCCATGCCTGAGGCATTGGTCGCTGCTGACTGTGACCACAAACAAGTGTTCTGGGACAAAGCAGAATTAGTGTCAGTTTTCTTGGAATTTACTGGTTATAGAAGATCCTGAGGGTCTGAAGATCACTTTTCCTCTTTCTTTTTGTGGCCCAGCTGAGTTGCTCACCCACTTCCTCTTTCCTTGCACGGCAGCACACTGCCCATCCGGGAGCCTGAGTGGCCCCAGGCTGTCTGGAGGCCAGACAGGGTCTGGTTTTGGGAGGGTTTGGGCAGTGGTGAGGAAGGAGCTGGGGCTGCAGCTCTGAAAAAGCCCTGCCCCTCTCTCCTGCCAGCACGAGGCTTCTCCAGGCTTCAAGGTGGGCATGAAGCTCGAGGCCGTGGACCGCATGAACCCGTCCCTGATCTGTGTGGCCACAGTGACTGACGTGGTGGACAATCGCTTCCTGGTGCACTTTGACAACTGGGATGATACTTATGACTACTGGTAAGGCCACACAGGCTCTTGGGGGCAGGTGCTGGGGAGACACCCACAGAGGGCCCTGTGTAAGAGCTTGGGTATGTTTTCTAGGTGTGATCCCAGCAGTCCATACATCCACCCAGTTGGATGGTGTCATGAGCACGGCAAACCCCTCACACCTCCTCAAGGTGAGTCAATGATCAGTCAGGTGCAGCCTGGGAGTGCATCCCTTTGGGAACAGGCTCCACAGGGTGGCATGGGGGTCCTGGGGACACAAACTTCCTGCCAAGGCTCCTGTACACATGTTCAGGTGCAGCATGGTGCTTGTGTTAGGCCAAGTCTCCACTCAGAGATACGAGGAGACCCCAACTGTGTGTGCACACCCAGCTGTTTCTGCTTCCTTGCACTGTGGGTTTCATGGGCCATGAGAAAATAGCAGCACTTCTTGATGTCTCTCAGGTTCCTGTGTGCCAAGCAGACTTGGGTGGCCCTCGAAGGCAGTGGGGCATTCTGGGGCACTTTCTGACTTCCTGCAGCCTGTCTCACCTCCTGCATCTTCCCCCTTCCAGATTATCCTGATCCTGACAACTTCACCTGGGAAAAGTACTTGAAAGAAACTGGAGCATCTGCTGTCCCAGCTTGGGCCTTTAAAGTGGTGAGTGTCACATCATCTGCTCCACCCCACCTGGACAGGAATTTGGGTTTGCTTCATTGTCAGATCTTTGCTTTTGTGATGAGTTCAGTGATGTTCTGTATTCTCCTGCCACAGGCCTAGGCCAGGGTTCAGAAGTCAGGGCTATCCTGGGCAAAGACTTAAAAATTGGGAAAAATGAGGAGTATGACTGTGCCCTCAGCTAAGCAGGAGCTGAGTGATGGAAAATAATTTAGGTTTGCTTGATTAGTTTTTGTCTCAAACTGCACCACCAGCAGCCATGTCCAGCCAAGCATGGTTGCAATACAGATCCCCAAAATGTGTCTCTTAGAGACCTTCTTCCCTGGGGCACATCTGTTAAAGGCAGCTCAAATGCAGGGAGGCTGTTTCTGCTTTCTCCTGTTGCCACTGTGAGCTGGGATGGCTCCTCCCTGGCCAGGCCAGGGCTGGGAGCTGGGCTCGAGGAGGACACAGTGCTGGGAAAGCTACTGAGGGGGCAGGAGCCTGAAGCTCCCTGCTCCCCCTGACTGGGCCCTTCCAGCGCCCGCCCCACGGCTTCCTGGTCAACATGAAGCTGGAGGCAGTGGACAGGAGGACTCCTTCCTTCATCCGAGTGGCCAGTGTGGAGGACGTGGAAGATCACAGGATAAAGGTGGGTGCTGGAGTATGGTGAGCCTGTGTGCAGGCACTGTGCTGGCTCACTCTGCCCTTCCCCTCTCTGGGAGTGTGCAAATGTGGGCAGGTGCCAGTGCCTGGCTCCAGGAGTGCCTTGTGAGCCTTGTGCTGCACTCCAGCTCTACCCTGCTTCTTGCACTCAGCTAGGAGGGCTCCAGAGCTCCTCAGAGATGTGTGCTGGCATTTGAAGGGTGACCTCTCTCCGTGCTTCCCCAGGTGCATTTTGATGGCTGGAGCCACGTGTATGATTTCTGGATTGATGCAGATCATCCGGACATCCATCCCATGGGCTGGTGCTCAAAAACAGGACACCCACTGCAGCCTCCTCTCAGTAAGTGCTGCACCTGTGTCAGCTCCTCCCCACAGGGCACAAGCACGCCAGACACTCTGTCACTGCCACCTGCCCATGCACAGAAACAGGAGGGCAGGTTCTGGCTGAGAATGGGCAGGGAGGAGAGGCCACTCCATGGATGTGTCAGTAGGAAAAGCCCTCCCTGTTTGGTGCAGGCAGGGAGCCCAGAGCCCTGGCTCTGCCTGGGCTTGCAGCCTTGACAGCCTTTCTCCTGTTCCTTTCCTCTGCCTGCAGGGCCAAAGGAACCAGCCTCCTCTGCCCATGGGGGCTGCCCAAGCCTGGGCTGTAAGAGCATCCCTCACTCCAAGAGCTCCAAGTACAGCTTTCACCACAGGTGAGCTCCCTGGCACAGCCTGCAGGGGCACAGCTGCTTCCCTGCCAGGCTGGGCCAGCTCTGCCTCTGCTCCTCCTCACCTGCCCCACCACCAGCACCCAGCCTGTCCCTGCACTCACCCACACCTGGCTCTGCCCCTGCTGCCCTGGACCCCAGCTGGAGTAACCCCTGTGAGCCCCTCCCGTGCCTGTCCTGCAGCCCCAGAGCCCCTGGAGGTGTCCTGTGTGCCCACCTACCATGGGCACCTGTGGGCTGTGCAGAGGACAGTGCAGATGCTGTTCACTGGCACCAGCTGTGAGAATGCTGTTCCCTCCACCCCTCCTGGATGCCTTTCCCTGTCAGGCTTTGAGCTGGCAAGTCCCCAGAAGGAGCAGTGCATGGTGCCAGCTCAGGCAGTCCCTTGAGGGGCCCTTTCCAAGGGAAGCCAGGCTGGGTCTAGAGCCAACCCAGGACTAGGCTGGTGTCAGGAAGAGCCAGTGTGGTGGAGGATGTGTGAGGATGGGGAGGGCAGGTGTGCCTCCTGGGCACATTCCTGGCACACACTCACTGCTCGCTCTGAGGGTAGTCTGGGTGCCTGTGGGGGCCAGGGAAGATGGAGACTCTGGGAGCCCCAATGAGCTGCTCAATCAGCACACAGATTCCTTGCCCAGGGTTGCAGGTATGGCAGAGGGCCAAGGTTTGTAGCTGGAGGGACTGGCTGTGCCCTGCTCCTGCCCCCAGCAGCCTGGCCACGGGAATTGGCTCAGCACATCATTCCTCTGCCTTCCATGGCCAGGGCAACGGCTGCCCGTGCTCGGGGGCAGAGGGGTGGCCCCACTGGCTCGTCCCCAGTGCTGCTCCAAGCTGGGCCCAACGCTTGTGTCCCCTCTGTTCTCCAGGAAGTGCCCCACGCCGGGCTGCGATGGCTCAGGCCATGTGACGGGGAGGTTCACAGCCCATTACTGCCTCTCAGGGTGCCCGCTGGCAGAGAAGAACCAGGGCAGGCTCAAGGCCGACCTGTCTGACACCGAGGCCTCGACGCGCAAGAGGAGCCCCATGGGTTTCCCTCAGCGAAAGAAATCTCGGCACCACGGCAGGTAGGGGCACGGCCAGCGTGCAGGGAGGGCCCTGTGCCAGCACTGCCCACCCTGCAGGGCTCACCAGCCCCCAGAGGCTCCTTGGCCCTGCTCCTGCCAGCTCTGCCTCTGTCACTTTCTCTTCCCACGGCTTTGGCTGTCAGCCCTTTGGGTCAGGGCCCTTTGGGTCCCTGCTCCCACTGCCGAGGTGTTCTCTGGGCACTGGGGAGGAGGGCCCTGGGCCAGGCCCAGCCCAGGACATCAGTATTCCTGTCTCTTTAGAGGGAGACCTCCAAAGTACCGGAAGATCCAGCAGGAAGACTTCCAGAGTAAGTGCCATCGTTTGCCATGGTGTCACTGCAGGGCAGGCTGCAGGAGCTGGGGTGGCTGGGGGTGCTGGGTGCTCCCTTGGCTCCCACAGGTCTGCCCCAGTGAGGGGCTTGTGGTCAGCTGCCAGAGTTGATAAGGGACGTCCCCACCTTGTGCCAGGGCTCACAAAGCTCCCTTGGTTTGGCTCTGGGGTTATGCCTGGGAGTCTTTGAGTGCTTTAGGGCATAGAATTAGGATCCTCTCTAGGGCATGTATTTTCTGTGGTTCTATGGCATGTATTTTCTGTGGTGCTTTGTCCTGTTCAGACAGAGATAGTGGGAAGTTGTGCCCCAAAATTTCAGTGTGGTTGTGAACTGCCAAATTATTGCTGCCACACAGAAACTGGTGCTGGACAGTTGGCTTGGCATTTGGTTCTGATGCAGACAAGCAGATGCCTGATGTATATTCCATCCAACATCCCTTTCGCCATGGGCTGTCCTGCCACCTACCCCACCACTGGGAGTGAGTGGAAAATGAATGATTAAAAGTCATAAGAACAAGGCAAAGCCAAGCTTGTCTCAACTTCTTTTCCCAGGATCCCCAATCCCATCTAAGGGAGCACTTGAATACACTGACACCCTGTTAACTCACAGGACAGCCACTAGCTCTTGATCCCTGCATGGGATGTTCTCACCTCTTACCTTGTGTCACACGTGCTTTGTCCCCAGCTATTTCCTCAGACAATGTGCACCAGTCGCTCTTCATGTCCGCCCTGTCCGCCCACCCCGACCGCTCCCTGTCCCTGTGCTGGGAGCAGCACTGCAAGCTGCTGCCCGGGGTGGCTGGCATCACAGCAGCCACGGTGGCCAAGTGGACCATTGATGAGGTGAGGTGCTTTGGATGGCTCTGATGTGCCAGCGTGGCTGGGAGTGCCCTGCCTGGCTGTGGCACAGGCACCAGGCTCTTCAGTGGCCACGTCCCTGGGTTAGTGAGGAGGGGTCTGCTGGAGACACTGTTACCTTTGTTCACTTTGTTGGGCAGCCATGGTGACCCCTGTTGAGGCCTGAGTAGGTGGAGGAGCTCAGGCACCAGCCCCAGCAGCCCCTGCCTGCTCTCAGGCACTGGCACAGCTGCCCATGGCAGTGGTGGAGTCACTATCCCTGGAAGTGTTCAAAAGCTGTGTGGATGTGGCACCTGGGGACGTGGTTTAGTGGTGGCCTTGGCAGTGCTGGTCAGTGGTGGCCTCGATGATCACAGAGAGCTCAGCCAATCTTAGTGATCCCCTGATGTCCCCGTGACCCCTCTGGGTGCCCCTCTCAGGCCCGTGCCTGTGCCTGGGGCCAAGGGTGAGCTCTGGCATGGGAGGGCAGAGCAACTGCAGCCTCTGCCCCTGTGGCACCCTGCAGGGCTCAGAATGTGAGGATGTGGGCTCAGGAGGGGTCTCCAGCCAGAATCATTGCTCTGTCTTGACATTTCTCTCATTTATTCCAAGGTTTTTAGCTTTGTGCAGACTCTGACGGGTTGTGAGGACCAAGCCAAGCTCTTCAAGGATGAGGTGAGAAGGGCTGGCAGATGAGAGCAGGTGGTCAAGGACAGCTGTTTGCCACCAGGGCTGGGAGGAATTGGCCACTGGCCTTCCTGCAGTGGCCTGCTGCTGGGTGCTGAGGGCACATCCAGCACCTGGCAGTGCTCCTGCCCTGCAGCCCCACTGCATGGGAGGGTGCAGCTGTCTGGCTGTGTCCCCACGGGGCAGGAGGGAGCTGCTGAGGCCCAGGGAGCTGTGCTGCCCTGTTCTCCCAGCATGGGGGGATCCCCTCTGAGGGGATGTGGATGGGGGGCAGAGGAGGAGGATGGTGCTGCAGCCTGAAGAGCACCATCACCTCCTGCAGGGAGCTACTCCTCCTCACCCCTTCATCCTCCCCCCTCTGCCCCTCTCACCAGCACTGCTGCCTGTCAGGGTTGGTGGTTTTGGGCAGATGTGATGGGGGTGGCTCTGACACCCGGGGCTGATCCTGGGCATCCTGGCTACAGCCACTGTCACAGCCTGTCTGGGAATGGCCCCAGTGCCTTAAGGGTGCTCAGGCAGGCAAAGCTGAACCAGGGCAGTGTCCATGAGTTCTGGTCCCTGGAGCAGGGAATGGATGGCTGCTTGCCCAGACCAGGTTGTGATGGCTCTGTGCTGTGTCATGGGGCTCCAGCACAGGATCCCAACCTGGCTGCAGTGTGGGCTCCTGGGATGGCCCCTGAAGGGCTTCTCCCCCTCTGCCCTGTTCCTGGGCACATCAGCTGCCAGCTGGGGTGTCCCTGGGGAGTGCTGTGGATGGGCCCTGCCCTGGTCCCTGGGGTCACCCGTGGCTTCTGCCCAGGTCCTGCTGGTGCTGTCTGTGCCCAGGAGTGCCAGCCCAGGTGTGCAGTAGTGCCTTTGTCCTGCTCTCCTTCCCAGATGATCGATGGCGAGGCGTTCCTCCTGCTGACACAGGCTGACATCGTCAAGATTATGAGTGTCAAGCTGGGCCCGGCACTCAAGATCTACAATGCCATCCTCATGTTCAAGAACGCTGATGACACCTTAAAGTGACTTCTCTTGGCCCACCTGGGACCCTCCCTCATCACTGGTGCTGCCAAACTGTCCGCTCAGGACAGAGATCCCCCAGCCGACCGCAGCTTGTCCCGTCCTGCTCATATCCTCCCGGTGCCACACGTCCCCTCCCAGCTCCCTGTGCCATCCCGTTCCCTGCCCGCTGCCCTTCTGCCCACCCTCGGGGGCAGGGAGGGAGGGTGGAGGTGGCACTGGCCCAGCTTGGTGCCACAGCTGCCCCACTGTGTCCTGCTGTGGGTCAGGGGTGCTGAGGGAGCCCTGTGGAGGAGTCACAGCGGGGGCTGGCACCCACTGGAGCCCCCCAGGCAGGGAAGGGACTGCCTGCCTGCAGCCATGCTCACACCCACTCCAAGGCTGCTCTTGCCTTTGCTCAGCAGCTGAGAGAGATTTGGGGTTTTCCCTCTGTGTGATCCTCTGGGGCTACTTGTGCTAACACCGTTTCCAAGGAACGTTCTTGAGGAGCTTCTGCTCATTTTGCCTTTTTCTCTGAATTCTTTTGACTTCCCCCTTTTGAGGCCAGTTGATGACTGCTTTGCCCCTACACTGCACTGCAAACCAGTGGCCACCTCTTGTCCCTTCGGGGAGCAGCTGTCCTGGCAGCTGCTCTGCCCATGACCAGCACCTGTGCTTTCTTCCTCTTTCCTGGAATTCAGCAGCCTCAGGGCCCTGCCAGGTCAGGGCTGGCTGGATGCAGAAAAGGCTCCACTTCTTGCACCTCAGACTGTTCTGTCCAGCTCTTCTCTGGGAGAAAGGATGCTCGGATAACTTGTTCCCCTCACACCTATTAAAGAGTCCTCTACAAAGGAAGTTGGGCCCTCTTTGGTCCTTGTATTAGGAGCAGGGCCCTCTCTAGGGTGGGGACAAGTGCCAAGGACAAAAAGCATCCATTGCTCCAATAGGCAGATCCAGAGTCGCTTCTGAAGGCATTCCTGAGTTGGCTGAGTCAATTCTACCAAGCTGCCTTCTCCCCACTCTTTACCCTCACAAGGCACCCAGGTTTTGCTGCCTGAAGAGCAGGATCTTCTGCTGTCCCTGGATCCCTTACCTGCAGAGCTGAAAGAAATCCAGCACTTGGCTGGTTTGTTTCTCTCCTTTTCAGAACATAGAACCTTTCCAACAGGGCCACAGGCAGTTTGGGAATGCTCATGTAGCACTGTCCCTTGTGATGGAGGAGGGACCAAAGGGCTGCAGAGCCAGAAAAGCCAACATTGCTGGGGGTGCTGGCAGAGTCCCAGCAGCTTCTGAGAAGCCCCTGTGCCTCCTGGCAGGCCCCACACTGCTCTCCATGGTCCATCACCTGGCACACCTGTGGAGCTGTTGGAGCAGGGGCTGGCCATGCAGTGCTGGAGGGTGGCTCAGATGGCCACCTGCCCAGATGGCCACCTGCCCAGGGCCCAGCCCAGGTCCGCTTCATTCTCCTTTCCCAACAATGACATTCCAGTAATCAAACAACTTCCCCCCTTTGCCAGTGCCCAAAGACAGGGATGCAGAGGTGTGAGCAAGTGCACCAGCAATGTGTCCTGGAGCTGTGCTGCCTTGGGAGCTGCTGTCACATCTGGGTCAACCTGTTTGAGGCTTCCCATGGAAATGTAGCATTTTGTCTCTGTTATTGAATTTTTGGGGTCATGTTTGACCTGCTCTTGAAACGTCTGCTGCTTGCTCTTCCCGCAGGACTTGCAACTTGTCCATGCCTTTGTTTTGTCATTGCTTGGGTTTGATTTAGGCAGCTTTCCTTCTCCTTTCCTTTTTTATGTCCTTGCATCTTTTCAAGCGCTGCCGTGTGGCCAGCTGTGGAGAGAGGGAGTGGGAAGGAGCAGCTGTGTCCCTGGGTCCCAGAGTCACTCCCCCAGCCACCCTTCCTCTGCAGGAAGTGGAGGTCGGTCTCTTCAGCTGATGGAGAGTCTCTTTCTGGGCAACTGTGTGCAGGGAGGAGGCCTGGGACCTTCAGCCCAGGCTGTGAATGGTGCTGAGACTTTTCCAGGTGGGATCTGGAATGAAAAAGCTCCCTCACACTGGACACAGCCCTTGAGCTTGCACGGACCCATTTCAGGAAAGCATCCTATTCTCATCTGCTGTATTCCCATGTGTGAAGTCATTCCTCCTGCTGGGGAAGGGACTGAGCACCATCCCAGGGACAGGAGCTGCTACCCAGGCACCAGATCTGAAACTGCTGTGAAGGAGGGAGAGCCCTGTGTCTCACAGGGCAGCCTGGGAGAGCAGAGGTGGTGAGGAGCTCAGAAGATCCTGCTGAGGGGCAGAGGAGCCATGAGTCAAGCCCTGGCTGCCTCCAGGGCTGGCTACAACCAGCACCACTGGCTCTTGCTCTGCTGCTGGCTGCAGCCAAGCCCTGCTCTGCCTGGCAGAGGTGCATCCCCACGCTGTGCCAGCACAGCCCTGCCAGCCCTGGGCTCTCCTCACCTCCCTCTTGGAAACAGACATGACCTGGGCCAGGGTGCTGCCCCTCCTCTGACTGCAGGGCTGGAGCCCAGGGGTGAGCTCTGTGCTGGGAGCAGCTGTCAGGAGCACCAGTCCCACTGAAGGGTGGGGGGAGCTGTGTCACACTCCTGCTGCATTGAGCATCCTCAGCCTCTCAGGCTGATGTACCTCTTGGGGTACAGAGCTGCTGGGTTTGTCTGGGTGAGGGAGTTACAGGGTTTGTAGGTGGTCAAGGGCTATTTACTGTTAAAACTTATAACCTTCTGTGTCCTTTAAACCAAACCCAAAGCATTGTGTACATGTGGATGGGTGATTGTGGGAGTACCATGACGCCATTCCCCTGCTGTTGGTGTGTTGCTGTTTTAGGGTGGGGGTCTCTGGGGCTGTGGAGGCAGCAGACACCCACCCCAGGGTCTCATGTGATGTGTCCTCTGTGAGCAGTTGTCCCTGGTCCCAGCAGGGAGGAAGGTTTGCTGCACCCCTGGCCTTGGTAGGTCCTCCAACCCCACAGAGCATGGAGTGGGAGTCCCCCCTCAGGGACTGTTAAGGACAGCTGTGACCAAGGCAGAAGCACCAAAGTTTTCTGTCCTTCCCCTGCTGCCTGACCAAATTCCTCACAGAGACATTTACTGCCGTGTCACTAAGAAGCCAGAGAGGACAGTGGGCTGTGCTGACCCACAGGTTCTCCTCTAGGGCCTTTCTGAGGGTTGTGATTGCAGCCAGCATTTCTAAGTCAGTGAAGAATTCTTCAAGTGGAATGTTTTTCTGAGTGGAGGTCCCCAAGTCTGTTTCTGCCATTGCTGCCCCTGCACTGGTGTTGGCAGGGCTCAGCTGGAGCCATGGGGGGGTCCCACTGTGCTGCAGCCCCAGCTGTGGGTGTCTCCTGGGGGCTCACTCTGGCTGCGGGGGAGCAGTTGGAGCCTCTTGGGAAACTTTTCCTCCTCCCAGTGGAAATGGGCAGCATTGGGACAGTGCGAGCCAAGGTCTCCATTCCCATGAGAGCAGCCAGCCTGGAGCTCAGCAGGGAGGGTGGCACAGCTGCCTGCCCTCTCCCTCCTCTGCTGCTCTCCATGGCGATCACAAGCACTTTCAGAAGAGAAAAGCGCCCTGCAATGGTCCGGGAGCGCTGGGGGCTTGGGGCAGCTGCTGCCTGCAGGGGCACATCTGGGCCCTGGGTGTGGTGAGGTTGTTGGGAGAGGGAGCCAGGAGAGGGGTGTGACTTTGCCACTCGGGTTCCTCACTCCTCATCCGCCAGGAGAGCTCCTCGGTGCACAGAGGGAAGGACAGGAGGGCTGCAGCCTGGCTCCCTTCTTCCAGCCTAGCCCTTCCCTCTGGGGCCTGAGGCTCGCTGGTACTTGGAGGGGGGAATGGGGACCATATTGTGGAGGGAGTGTGATTATGGTAACAAAAGCTTTTTTGCACTTTCATTCATTTTGCACTCTTTCTTAATTTCTTTTTTTCTGTGTTTTTGATATTGGCGCCTCCTCTCTGTGTTTTCATAATGAAAATCCTTCTGTTGTAGCCAGTGCAGCTATTCTGGAACTGTGTGTCCTGAATGTACAGAGATTTAAAGGCTCTATATATATAAATTTATAGTGGTACAAAGGTAAATTTATATATATAGATGATGGTGTGATGTGTTTTGTCAGTGTTTTAAAATAATAAACGAATGTGAGCAACAGAGGCCTGTGAAGCAGGAGTGGTCACTGTGCTGTGGGAGCGGTCACTGCAGGGCTGGAGCTGTCACTGTGCAGTGGGGTAGCAGGGGCGGTCACTGCGTGGGTGCCACTCGGCATGGCCAGCAGGGTCACTGTGCAGCACGGGAGGTCACTGCAGGGGTCACTGCAGCAAGAGCAGTCAGTGCAGGGGTCACTGTGTGCCCAGGGATCAGTGTAGCGGTCACTGCAGGGGTCAGTACAGCAGCCAATGCAGCGGTCAATGCAGTGGTCAGTGCAGGGGTCAGAGCAGCAGTCAGTGCAGTGGTCAAGAGCACGGGTTAGAGCAAAAGTCAAAGCAGTGGTCAGTGCAGGGGTCAGAGCAGGGGTCACTGCAGCGGTCACTGCAGCGGTCAGTGCAGCGGTCAGTGCAGGGGTCAGCGCAGCGGTCAGTGCAGCGGTCAGTGCAGGGGTCAGTGCACTGGTCAGTGCAGTGGTCAATGCAGCGGGCAGTGCAGGGGTGAGAGCAGCAGTAAGAGCAGTGGTCAGTGCAGCGGTCAGTGCAGGGGTCACTACAGCGGTCAGTGCAGTGGTCAGTCCAGGGGTCGGTGCTGCGGTCCCCGCTCCGCCCGGGGCGAGCCCCCCGCCCCTCTCCGCGTTCCCAGGTGTTCCAGCGCCCGCCCGCCCGCGGGACCCCCGAGGCAGCCGGGACAGGCCCGGGACAAGCACCGCGAGTGGGACAAGAAGCAGGCGGGGTTGGCGGCAGGGCCGGGCCGGTTTATTGATCCCAGCGCGGGGTCCGCAGGGCGATGAGCGCGGCGGGGCCCGGCGGGCCCGGGCGGCTCCCCCAGCCCCGGCAGCGGCCCCGCGCCGCCTCGGCCGCCAGCAGCCCCAGCAGGAGCAGCAGCGCGGCCGCCAGCGCCAGGCGCACGGCGTTGCACAGCGTGTAATCTGCAGGGACAGAAGGGACCGTCACTGCCCGGGAACCCACTGCGACACCCCAGTCCTCCCACGGGGGCAGCAGGGGATCCAAGGGGACCCACAGGGCAAGGGGACACCCCAGGGAGGTCCTCGGCTAAAGAGACACAAAGGGAAGTTCCTAAGGAGCAAAGAGAGCCCCGAGGGGGCCCCCTATGCACCTCCCACATCCCTGCTCCCTGGGACACCCTCTACTCACAGCCTCTCACCTGTGACCCCACCAAGTGGCACCAAAGATGGAAAGGAGGGAAGAAACATGGAGCTGGCCCACTGCCAGCGAGATGGTGACACTGAGCTGTGACAAGACATTATGACTGTTCCTGGGGCTGGGAGGTGCAGGGAGAGATGTCCTTTGACTCTTATCCCCGCCTATCAGCCCAGCAGCCCTGGTCTCCAGGTCATCTATAGGGTCTCTGAGGAGTTGGCCAGGCTCAAACGCAGGTGAAGGAAGCTGGAACCCTCTCTTTGGTCCCTTCATACAGCTGCTTTCCTGCCCTAAACTCTTTCTAGTTCCCCCAGGATGTGACAGATTGCAGGGAGGAAGAGTGGAGCAGGATGTGGCTGGGGCGATGTCTCACCTCTCACCACCAAGTCCAGGGTGTTGCTGACAGCAGACCACTCTTTCAAACCATTCATGCACTGGCAGCTGTAGCGGCCGCTGTGACCTTTCTGCACAAGGGAGAAGTTGTGGTTCCCTTGTTCCCTGAGGAACAGCAGCACTTTCATCTGGCCCTCCAGGTACAGGTAACAGCCGGTGCTGGGCTGTGTGGTGGTGCAGCGGAACATCACCTCAGCTCCCACATCCACCTCGTGCCCAGGCAGGACAGAGAGGTCAGGTCGGGGCAGACGGAGCTCTGGGGGGACAGGAGAGGGAATGAGAAGGTGCAGAGGGCTTTGACGTGGTGCCAGGAGCACCAGGATCTCTGTGAAGCCACCAACTGCCTCAGGCAGAGGTGAAGATGGTCCCCACCTCTCCAAGCCAGGAAAGAGGAGAAAAACCTTGTCCATCATGGAAATGGCCACAGGCATCCTGGTGTGCCCTGGGGCGTGACCCCACAAGAGGGGAAACAGCACATCCCTCACCTTCCACTAAGACTTCCAGTCCAGCGCTTCGAGCCAGCTCAGTGTCTCCCTCCAGGTAATGGCAGACGTAGTTACCTGTGTCCTCGTAGGTGGCATTAGAGATGGAGAACTCGGCCCTGCCACCACTCTGCTCCAGGGTGGGGAGCTGGTGGCCGCCCTTGTACATCCTAAAGCTCCCACTGCTGCACTGGCAAATGCAGTAGATGGTGGTGGAGCCTCCAGGTGGGATCACCCCTGGTGGCTTCTGGAAGATGGAAATTGTGGGGGCACCTGCACAGGGAGAGAGATGCTGCCAGCCAGACAGGGAGCCCCAAGCAGCTGCCCTGCTATGAGCCCGGGGCTGCCACCAGGCCCCATCTCCACACAAGGGTGAGTTTTGTTCCAGGGGGCTGTGGAAGAGCCCTGGGAGATGGGTAGGCCCAGAAATATGTCCAAACTCCCCATCTACCTTCTACCTCCTCAAGATACTCACTTGGTGTAGCCTCGCCCAGTGACACCAGCCAAGCGCCTGCAAGACAAGCAGCCGTGTAACACCTCCATGGAGTGTCTGGGCAACACCTCCCGTCACCCTCTGGGAATCCCCACAGCCTCTGGTACTCACCCAAGGCCAGCACATGGGTCACAGGCAGCATCACGTCCCTCTTGGCTCCCTCAGTATTCGCTCGAGCAGGGCTTCTGCAGAGGGAAGCGTTGGCCAGAGGCACCGAGCAGCTGCGGGGCTCCTTGTGGCTCCTGACACAAGCTCGTTGTCACAAGCCGCCTCCTGTCCCACGGCTTGGCTTTCTGCAGCACGACTGCAGGGCTGGGGTGGCTGAACTGGAACCACAGTGTCCAGTCACATGCTCAGGGCAGGGCCCCTGTGACAACTTAAGACCCAGCAGACCTTGGGAGAAAGGCTATCAGGACTTTTTGTTTCTCTTTCTTAGATCCGGTCACTTGATGGTGAAATGGCTTCTTCTCCGCCTTATGAAATAGGGATTTGTTTTGCAACCACAAACCCACAAGTTTGGTGGCTCAGCAGATTGAAATAGGAGGGAAGGAACTTGACTTCCTTTTTGGTCCTTTCCTGGCCTACAGGGTCCATCTTTGTAGGAGGGGCAGCAACACCTCCTACCTGTAGGTCTGGGTGCACCCCACAGCATTGGTCCCACTCCTCATCCATCCAAACCCCCTCAGTCCCACACTGGAGCAACCCATGGTCCTTACTGCAGACAGCTGCTGCCTTCCACCCACACCTGGAGCCAGGTGCACCTCAGCTGCATCTTCCCTGGGTTGCCAGTGATGTAGACAGAGCTCCCTTTGACAATAATGAGGGGCTAATGAAACAGGGACAGTCGCTTGCACCCCTGGATGTGGGAGAAGGGAATGGATGAGTCCTGGCACTGGAGCTGTGTGGGACATGTGCAGCTTGGCCAGGAGTCCTGCTCTGAAGGTGTTTGTAGCTCCCTGCCCTCCTGTGAGCTGCAGGCAGCACATCCTGTCCCCTCTGCATCTGCAGCCTCTGCCACAACCGGCCCCTGCAGGAAAAACAGGGAAGGCACAGGGCTGGGGGTGTGGGGGTTATATGGGTGTAAACCAGGGGGGAAAGGCAAAGCTGTGCTTCTTCCAGACCCTTTTCTACCCTTTTCCTTCTTCCCCCTTCAGCCCTTTTGGTCTCCCTTGGAGATTCCATGGGCAAGGAGAAGTTTTGGCAGCAGGGTGCCCTATGGCCTGTTCCTGTTCTGGGCACCTCCTCTGGCCCTCTCTCCTGTCTCACCACCCTTTGCCTCCCCCAGCCTCAACTAATTCTTGGCATTGATGACTTAGTATTTGAGCTTTGATATTTTTCATATATTTATAATCCTGCAATTCTTTAGTGTATAACTCTAAACTCCATACTCAGTGTGAGCTGCTGCTTTCCCATTTTGGTCAGACACAACAATTCCTCTCCAGGCCTGGCAATCAAGGACTCCTCACTGTGTCAGGCCCCAAGAAATGCAAACAAGTGAGTTGGGGGGAGCAAACTGGGGGTAAATGACTTCATTACCTGAAGCTGTAATTGGAAGATTAACCCTCAATAGGCAAATGGACCAAGCTTATAAAAGTTATAAAACTATGAAAACCTGTGAACCATTGTCCATTTTGGGTGTAGCCTCTGAGGGGCTTTATCTATCTGAAATAGACAAAGCCTGAAGGCCCTTCAATACATACAACTGTATTCCCGTTATTTTGTCTGGCCTCTGTTTTTAGGTGGCCCCAAAAAGGCATCAGCATCTCCTTGGGGAGCCTCCTTTGAGCCCCACAGCCCCCACTGGCCACACCAAACTGCTCTGGGCTCACCAGTGCCCAGTAGAGAACAAGCCCTGGCCATTCCATGGCTCTGGCCTGGCTCACACTGTCCAGGATGATGTTGGTGGCATTGCTGTGGGCCCATCCATGGGCACACTGGAATCCCTGCTCCCCTCTCCAGAGCCTTTTCTCACATCCCTCACCCTGAGACTGACCTCGGGGTGCACATCTAGAGCATGGGACTGTGGAAAGAGCTTTCCCCCTCCATCCCCACTGCTGGGAGTTGCCTGATCCAGCAGCCTGAGAGACAGGAGGCTACCACAGCCCCAAGCCCCAGGTCCAAGCAGTTGTGAGTCCCCAGAGGACAGGTGAGGTCACACACACACACACAGCCAGTCCCTGTCGCGGTCCGTCCCAGTGAACGGGTTACGCGGTGATTCTGAGGTGCAAAAATAACCAACCAAGGCACAGGGGATTTGCAGTTACCAAAATCAACAAATACAGTTTTATTGAAATAACCACAACAGAAAATGTGTTGGTGAGGAGAACTGGGGAAAAAAGGAGAAGATAAGGAAAAGAGGGAGGAGAAGGGGGGGAAATGGGTTATAGCTACCACAACGTGGTGCTGCTTTGTTCTCCAAAGGTCCAGCCGTCGAAGCTCACCAGGTCACGTCCGGGGAGATCTCAAAATCTCTAGCTAACTCAGGGGTTTTTATTACTTGTGAGGGCGGGGAAACAGATACAATAGGGAATAGATGTAACAGGTAGTCCATGTTCTCAGCAGTAAATGAGAGCCGCTGTCTTCTTGGTCCATTGGTCACAACATCTCAGTCTGTCAGTCACGGCGGTTGTAAACCAGGTGAGGGTCTTCTGTGGGGGACCATCCGAAATTCAGGAGAACTCCAGCCAGGCCGAGAAGTGAGACGGCTCCCTATTGAAAGGGAAATAGAGCATGGTGCCCCTTCTTCTTCATACAGCAAACACACCTGTGACAACAATAACTTAACACTGTCCTTTCAGGTCTCAGGGCATGTGACTTTCTCCTACAGAGCCAGAGATTCTCTTCAGGGTGGGGTTTTCTCTTCAATGGTCCCCCAATGACAATTGTGAGGCAGATGAGGGAAAATTCAGACAGACTCTCACAGTTCCACAGGTCTGGGCAGGCACACAGGGCCTCCCACAAACAGCACCAACAGGATGTGCCCCTCACTGTATCCCTGCAAGCACATTTGAGCTTAAATTTAAAAAGCTTTAATGAACAATGCACTGTCAGAATCCCACCACCATAAACGATTCTACAGGCAGTATGGAAAGATGTGACTGGAGACAATTCCTCATATCCAGTTCAGCAACCCCAAAGAACTGCCCTGTGATCTGGGCTTCACCCCCAGCTGCAGCTACACCTCCCTCTACTGCCCAAAGGTGGCTCCTCAGCAGCTGCATTGCCAACAAGACGAGGATGCCACCCTCTGACAGGAGTCAATGTCCCCAGCGTTCCTGATCCCAGCCAGTTGAGCCCTTTCTGCCACTGGACATTCTCAGCTCAGAATCACAGAATATGCTGCCTTGGAAGGGAGCCATCAGGATCATCGAGGCAAACTCCTGGCTACAGTGCAAATATGTAAATCAGTAGGTTCTTCTTTTTTGGCCCTGAAGGAAACCATTATCACCTGACATTTTCCTTTCAGTCATCTACCTTCCCCAGTTCAATTCTGCAGCCTCAAGTCACTGGCTAGAGCAGAAGTATGTCCATACTAGAAAAAAAAAAAGCAACAGGGAAGGATAAAGAAACACAAGCTGTTTCCAAACCATGCAAATACCACAAGAAACCACCCCTGCTGCCAAAATCCAGCAACTGCTGCAGTGCTCCCGCTCAGCAAAGCGGACTCCAGCAATGATTTGGTGGGACCATCATGTTTGTAACACCTGAGCCATGTCTCCCCATAGCCCCGCTGGCCTTGGCTGTCTCTTCCCACCTGGATTCCCCCTGGCTGTTGGTGGAGGCCCTCATCACAAACTCTCAACAATGCAGAAGCATCTTCAGACAAGCTAAGCATGAAGTAATCTCTGTCTGCCTGTTCCCACAGCACCAGGTGAGCGTGCAGCCGTGCTCCCAGCCTGCCGCAGGAACCAGCCTGCAGCAGCTTTCCCAGGAAAGGGCTGCACAAATGTCAGGGCAGACTGCACAGCCTTCTAGCCTGCCTCTGCTGAAGAGAGGCAGCACACTCGGGCTCCCACGGCAAGCAGCAGCAACCCACAGTTCACTGAAGTACACCCAAAATGCTACATGGTGCAACCTTGACTACAAGTTGTGCCACAGACATTTTTAGGTTTTAATCATTAAACTAAGCTGTCGCAGACATCCTTTCACTAAAAATCCTTTCTTTAGGATTTTCCCTTCTGGGAAGCTGAGGCTCCAGAAAAAGAATGTAAACAATGGTTATCTGCTGCCGTGGAATGCAACAGGTGCACCTGTGATTGGCCCATGCTGGATGTTTACAATTAATGGCCAATCAAGGACTGAGCTCTCTCAGACAGAGTCGGAGAGAGCTCCTTTGTTATCATTCTTTTCTATTCTTAGCTTAGCTAGCCTTCTGAAAACTTTTCCTTCTATTCTTTTTAGTATAGTTATAATGTAGTATACGTATCATAAAATAATAAATCAAGCCTTCTGATCATGGAATCAACATTCTCGTCTCTCACTCATCCTGAAAACCCTTGTGACCACGGTCACACTAAGCCACAAATGGTTTTTTACCTGTCACAGAAATTTTAGAACTGTGATAAAAAAAAGCCAAAAACTTGGGAAATAATGCTGTTCAAGAAGACAAATGAAAAGACATTCCTAAGATAAAATTTTAAAATATTTTATGTAAATGATATTTTTATCTTCTTTTTTTTGTTTATTTTTTCCCACTTTAAACTATGCATTAATTCAAATACTGTGATAAAAGCATCATCTTGAATTATAAAATAGTAAAATGGTCTTCTTGAAAATATCAACAGGAAAATGTTTTTTCCACCTGAGTTGTTTCAGATTAGTTCAGAATAATAAGAACTGATTCTTACAAGCAGCTTTTATTGGTTTTTCAGCGAACCTGCATTTTCCAAAAGAGAAAAAAAAAATATAATGTCAGACTTGTTTCGGGTTCTACTTTCTTTGCTTATTATCTACCTAGTTTTGCCTTTCATTTTCAGTTTCAATTCTGAGAGCCGAGATGCTGGAGAATAAATGTCTCGTTAGATCCCTCCCTATCCCTCCTCTCTGGATGCTGGTGTTTGTTCTGGCTGTGCTACATCCAGAGAGAACTACAAGGAAGACTTTGCTCCAGACATGCAAAACTGCTCCAAACAGCCCAGGAGGTACCTCAGCTTGCTCTGTCCACCTCTCAGCCCAGCAAATGGGAAAAAGCAGGGAAGAGAAGGGTCAGTTTTATTGCACCTATCAAGGGAAGGACTCATTTTACTTACCTTCTGTCATGGTATAATCCCAGACACAACTGAGCTTCGCACACGATCCTCGGTGGGGCACTGGAGAGAATCAAATGGTCAAAGTGAAAAACCCCCTTGTGGTTTGAGGTAAAGGTGTTTAATAAGGGAAGGAAAAGCTGCACAGGGAAGAAAAGCAAACCAAGGGATTCATTCCCCACCTCCCACTGGCAGGTTCAGCCATCCCTGGGATGGCCTGGCTCCAGCATGGTTACAATGATGGCAGGGCAAATGCCACCACCCAAACACCCCCTTCTCTCTTCCCCAGCCTTCCCTGGGAGCACAACGCTGCTGTGTCCCTCTGTCCCCGGCTGGCCAGGGCTCCTGGCAGCGCTGCAGGACCCATCCCCACCCCTGCAGAGGCCCATGGCTATCTGCAATCCCACCACAGCTCTGAGGGTCACAGGGATGAGGGTCTGGAGGAATGGGAATCTGCCTGGAGAGGGGTCAAAGCCGGGGAGCACTGACCTGCACACCATCATCACACTCAGCAGCAAGGTGAAAGGAGGAAGAGGTGAGAAGGCTTCCCTGCAGAGGTGCCTCACTGCATCCCCTGAGATTTCTCCTTCAGTTGCCCCGAGTCACCGTGTCCTGCAGGTTCCTTCTTCACACATTCCAAGTGGTCTCACGTCTCTGTGGTCTTTGTGCCTGCACTCCGCAGTCCAGGCAGCCTCAGTGTGGTGTTGTGTGGTCCCCAGATGGTCTGTAACAGTCCATGGGGCTGAAATTTGTCTTATGTGATCTCTGCAGTGCAAGTGATCTCCATCTGGCCCCATGATCCATTAGATAGAGCCCCTTCACCCAGGACAGTCTGGTTGTTTCTGCAGGCCAGTCTGGGACAGGAGACCAGGCCCTGATGGCCCTGGGCCCACAGCAGTGTCCCCACACAGTCACACCCCACACCCCTGCAGCCATATCCCCACACATGCCCGTATCACATCCCTGTAGGTGCATCCCTACATATTTCCACATCCATGTGGCCATATCCCCACATGTGGGAAATGGATTTGTAGAGAGTTCTCAGGGCCTGACAGAAGGCCCACACAGTATACATCCATATCCAAACTTCGAGATAAGAAAATGCTGACTTAGAAATGCCATGGAACAGGACAGATATTGGTGAGAGACAAATGGAGCTAGAAACAAGTTTCAAAAGATGGCGTTGCAAATAAGACTAAATACTTTAGAGAAATAGAACCATGAAAGATGCATTGTAGTGGGACCCACGAGGGGTCGTTTTAGGTGATTGGCTTTAAGGCATCTACAACACAGTGTGGCTAAACCTGATAGGCCAAGAAACACTTAATAGTATATTGTAATTAGGAAATAGTTTACTTCTGATTGTGATGATGTGAATTATAACATCTGTATTATCTCACCCTTCTCATGAGACTGAAAACAGAATAAAAGTTCTTAAAACACATGTCAGTCACCCCATCTCTAAATCAGAAAAAAATATGATCCAACACCCACGTGTTCCCATATCCCATCCAGGTATCCACATTCCCATTTCCCTGCCGCACAGGCGAGTTCCCGCCCCGGTCCCGCGCACCGCCTTTCGTGTCTCCTTGCTCCCCGCCGCTATTATTGCAAAAAACTTAGCAAAAGCACATTTCCCCGAATGCGCGTCTGCAGCGGGGAAACGAAACTCTCGGTCCGGGAGGCGGGACCAGGGAGGCGGAGAAGGGGGCGGACCGGAGCTCCGGGCAGTGACAAGGGGCAGCGGCGGCACCGGGCAGGGACACCGGGGAGGGACACCGGGCAGTGACACCGGGCAGTGACACCGGGCAGCGGCACCGGGCAGTGACACCGGGCAGCGGCGGAACCGGGCAGTGACACCGGGGAGGGACACCGGGCAGGGACACCGGGCAGCGGCGGAACCGGGCAGTGACACCGGGGAGGGACACCGGGCAGGGACACCGGGCAGGGACACCGGGCGACGGCACCAGCAGCAGCAGCAGCATCTCCATCTCCAGGAGTGGGCAGGGGTGCCCCGCAGTGCCCACCATGGCCCTCAAGCAGCCAAAGGCGTGAGTGGGTCTGGGGGTTTGTGGGGGCACACAGGGCATGGCTGGAGCGCTCTGGGGGTCACGGGGGGCTGTTGGAGGGGCAGGGGCTCGGGGGGTGCTGGGGAGAACTGAAGGGTGACTGGGGGAGGTGGGGACTGCAGCGGTCGGGGCTCACAGGGAGGCATTTTCAGGGGCTGCTGGATGTCTTGGTTTTGACTGAGAGAGAGAATTTTCTCCCAGAAGCTGCTCCAGCGCTGTTTTTGGTATTCAAAGTGAGAACAATGCTGGTAACATGCTGAATCAGAGCCCTGTTGAGCTCACTCCAAGGCAAGGACTTTTCAGTGTTCCATGCTCTGCCAGCAAGGGGAGCATGGCCAGGAGACCCGACCCCAACTGGCCAGGGGGATATTCCGGACCCCGGAACCTCCTGCCCAGTACAGAAACTGGGAGGGGGTTGGGAGCCAGCGATTGCTACTGGGGAACGGGCTGGGCATTGGTCAGTGGGTGATGAGCAGCTACTGGGCACTGCTGGTTTCTATTGCGTTTTATTCTGTTCTCTCTCCTTCCCATTACTATTCTTAATAGTAATAGCAGCAGTAATATCAATTTATTTAGTCTTGTTTCAGTTTTTTAACTGTTCTTATCTCCACTCATGGGTTTTACCTTTTCTGGATTTGCTCCTCCATCTCACCAGAGCAGCGAGTGGCTGTGTGGGACTGAGTTCCTGGCTGGGGTTAAACCACAACAGTCCTCTCTTTGGGTCACAAAGAGTTGAGATCTGAGCAGAGTGTGTTAAAACACAGTTGTAAGTCATATTTATTTAATAGCTGTGGGTCACAGTTTGCTCTCGTGGTTCCTGCCCGTGCGCTCACAGGTGCATTTTATAAAACCCTTCCTGGTGTGTGTGGTCCCATGGAAATGTTCATCCTCCCTGGCTCTGGGCTAAGGTTATCACTCTGTTGTGGTTGATAACACGGGGCTGTAGAGGACGGCTGGATCAGAGCTGCCGGCTGTGCCCGGCATTGCCGTCCCCGCTGGGCTTTGGGAGCCATCCAGTGGGAACTGCCAATAATTACACCTTTAGGCTTTTCTGCGAGAGCCAAGCCATGAGACAAATCTCCCAGCTCAGCCTTTCCTTTCCTTTTCCCTTCCCCCTGTCCTTCCCCTTCCCCTTCCCTTCCCAATACTCTCTGGTTACCCAAACCCTCAGGACAGTTTAGCCCAGAGCTCATCTCATAAAGCCACTCACTGTTCCCAGTGGGGGAGAATCAAAAAGAAAAGGTAAAACCTCTGAACTGACACAAGAACAGTTCAATAATTGATACAAAACTAAATATATTGATGTTACTGCTGCTACTAATAGTAATGAAAAGGAGAGAGAATGGAATAAAACCCAAGAGAAACCAGCAATGCCCAATAGTTGCTCATGCCCCACTGACCAATGCCCCACCCATCCCACAGCAGAGATTGGTGACTCCTGGCCAACCTCCTCCCAGTTTCTGTACTGGGCAGGAGGTTCTGGGGTCCGGAATATCCCTCTGGCCAGTCGGGGTCGGGTCTCCTGGCTGTGCCTCCGCTTGCTGGCAGAGCATGGAACACTGAAAAGTCCTTGACTGGGCTCCAACTCAAACATCTGTGTGCAACTGACACTGTTATGCTAAATCCTGAACATAGCCCTGTACACACTTCTGGGAAGAAAATTCTCTATCCCAGCCAAAAACAGTGCTCTGGGACATCCCAGGAAGAGATAAGGGTTTGGGGAAGTCTAGTTGTTGTCCTTGAAGGTGATTGTTTCAGTGGATCCTGGAAGGAGATGGGATCCTTGACCCTTTCCAAGCAGAGGCACATCCTCTGGGATCCAAGGAGGATGTGGGTGTCCTGGTTACAGAGCCTCCCCCACACCTTCTCTCCCTCTCTGTGCCTTACAGGGGCACCTTCTGCCAGCGGGCACCCACCTTCCTTGACTACCTGCACAGCATCCTGCAGAAGTACCCAGATGGAGGGCAGATCCTCAAGGTCAGACCCCCAGGGAACCCCATCTGGGATCTCCTGCCCAGCAGGGCAGGCACTGCAGGCAGTGGGGCTGGTCCCTGTCCAGCCCCAGGACCTTGGTGCCCAGCTGGGAGAGGGGTTCAATGCTCTTCTCAGGGCCTGGAGGGCCCAGGTGACCGAGCACTGATCTGTAATTCCAGGAGCTGGTGCAGAACGCGGACGATGCCGGCGCTACCGAGGTCGTGTTTGTGTCTGACGAGCGGGAGTTTGACATCACCGGAGGGGGACTGGAGGGCACCCAGGGTGAGAGGCACTGTGGGCACTGGGAGAAAAACTGGATGAAGCCTTGGGGTGGCACTGGCTGGTGCTGGGAGGGACTGGGGGAACTGGAACTGGTGAGGGGTTCTGGGATGTGGTGGGGGCACTGAGGGTACTGGGAGGACTCAGTGCTGCTGAGGGGGGTTTTGTGGGACTGGAGCTTGTGGGGACAGTGAGTGTGAATGACAATTCCCACTCCTTGTCCCAATTGCCCCTAACCCTTGCATGGTGCTGACCGCCAGGCCCAGCTCTCTTGGCCTACAACAACGCCGTGATGTCGGCCCGGGACTGGACAGGGATTCAACGCCCAGGGGTGTCACACAAGCGGGAGGATCCCCACAGCGTGGGGCGCTTCGGCTTGGGCTTCATCTCTGTCTACCACCTCACCGGTGAGTGGCACTGAGAGCCTAAACTGGGACTGAGCTGGGCGTGTAGGTTTTACTGGAGGCACTGAAATACAAGTGCTGGGGAGAACTGGGAGCACTCGGGGTGTGCAAAACGGAGGGCTGTGTCCAAAGTGAGGAAACCTGGAGCATTGGGAGGCTGGCTGGAAATGGAGAGCAGAGCTAGGGGGACAAACAGAGGGAGGACTGGTGAATTGGGATTAAGCTTTGGATCATGGGAGGCACCATGGGGATAAACTTGAGGCCATTGTGTGGGCATTGATGAGTTGGGATGATCTGGGAAGGCAGTGGTGTCCATGTCATCTCTGTGGCCTCATGGTTTCCATGTCTCCAGACCTGCCAGGTGTGCTGAGCCCCCCGTACCTGGGGGTGCTGGACCCCGAATGCCAGGTGCTGCCTGGTGGTGGCAAGCGCTGGGACATCTCTGAGGCCCAGGACCTTCCTGGCCTTTTCGAGCCCTTCTGGGCTGGGCTGGAAGCTGTAGGACAACACCGTGCCTCAGCCCAGGGCACCCTCTTCCGCTTCCCCCTTCGCCGGCAACCCTCAGAAATTGCTGCAGGGGTCTCCGATCCTGAGCGCATCTGCAACCTCATCCAGACCTTCCTCACAGAGGCCCCTCTTGCCCTCCTCTTCCTCCGCCATGTCCGCCGCGTGGCCCTGCACCGTGTGGCCCCTGATGGGGTCCAGACACTCGTGGGAACACTTGAGGCATCCCCTCAGCCTCTCCCTGTCCCGGTGCCATCAGGGGCTGAGGGGCTGAGTCTGGAGTGGTGCCTGGTGGCCCTGCGCTGGGATGAGGTGGGTGCTGGGAGCGAGTGGCTGGTGGCCACAGGCAGGGCCACTGAGGGGCCAGCCGTGGCTCTGGGCACACAGCTGGGGTGCTGCCCTGAGCTGAGCCTGGCACACCCCCTCTGCGGGGCCTGCCAAGGGCGGCTCTGCTGCTTCCTGCCACTGCCAGCCACTGACGAGACGGCCACGGGGCTGCCCGTCCATGCCAGCGCCCCCTTTGCCCTCTCCGATGATCGCCGCCACCTGCGCTGGCCCCAGGAGGGCGAGGAGGGTGAGGAAGATGCCCGCTGGAATGCTCTGCTACTGCTCGACCTCCTGCCCCGGGTCTACAGCCCCTTGGCCGCCGTGGCCGTGGCCCTGCCCGGTGCAGATGCCTACAGCCTGTGGCCGGACCCCGAGCGCACGCCGAGCTGCGGCCGGATGCACAGCCTGGTGAGCCGCGTGTGCCGGGAGCTGGCGGCCGCCCCCGTCCTGCTGCCGGCCGGGGGGCAGGGGCGGCTGCGGGCCCTCGAGGCTGTGCTGCTGCCGGCGGCCGCGGGCGATGAGGCCGCACGGCGGGCGGTGCAGGCCTTGCTGGTGGCAGCCGGGGAGCCGGTGGCCGAGGTCCCTCCCCACGTGTGGAGGGCGCTGGCTTTGGGGATGCCGAAGGGTCTGCGGGAGGCCACGGCGGGACACGTGCGGGAGGTGCTGCGGCGCCACGGGGCCGCAGCGCTCCCGGCTGCCGGCCGCCTCTCCCTGCTGCGCTACGTGGCCGGGGATGGGTGCCATGCTGAGCTCCGCGGCCTCCCCCTCCTGCCCCGCGCCGACGGAACCTTCGTGGCCTTCGGAACTGCGTCGGCCATTGTCTACGTGGACACACCCGACTGCCCCAGGTGAGCCCGCGGCCCCCGGCGGCTCCGTTCCTTGCAGAGTAGGCAGGACTGCCAGCTGCCCACAGTCACAGCTCTCGCTCTTGAATTGGGAAGGGGGGGCATGGCCAAACCTGGATATTTGGCCCTGGATATTTGGGCTCCTCACTACCCTCCTTCTCTAGTGTCACCAAGTGGGAGCTAAGGCAGGTGTCCAGAAAACTGCTCCCCATTACCCCTCTGGTCCCCCAGCACCTCTGTTTGTCACCACAGGGAGCTCCTGCCTGGCTTGGCTGGGTCCTTCCTGCCCTCAGACCTGGAGCCAGGCTTGGACAGCCTCCTGCGAGGCATTGCCAAGAAGGGTAAGAGATGGGGGTCCCTGGATCACCTTTAGGTCCCTGCTTGCCCCCCCTAAGCCCCAACACGCCCAGGCAGCCTTGTACACCTTGGGGTTCCTCTGCAGCCCCAGTATCTCCCTGTACGTCCCTGTCTCTCTGGGGATCCATGTCCTTGCTGTTCTTCCCACATTCCCCTGTCCCCTTTGTGCTCCCTCAGGTGCTGAGTCTCACTGTGTTCCTCCTCTGAAGACCTCTGTGCTCCCCAGTGCTGGTCCCCCTAACACCTTTTTACCTCCCATATCTTTCTTATATCCCCACCCACCCTGAGGTTTCTGGGTTCTCTGTGGTCCTGTTGAGGGTATCCACCATCCCTCCAGAGCCCAGGTCCTCCCAAATTCCATATGGGGGCCACCCATCCGCTGCAGGTTCTTTCTCCCCCATCCTGTGTCCCCCTGCCAGGTCCCAGGTCCCATGTGTTTCTAGTGCAGCCTCTGCCTCTTGTACACAGGTCTCTTCTCCAACCTGGTTCTGCTGGATCCAGCCGTGACTGTACAGACCCTGCGCTTGGCTCTGCCCCCCACCTGGACATCCCAGTCTTCAACCCCAGTGACGTGGTGCCCAGCCCAAGGCCTCCCCCAGCCCCCAGCCTCCTGGTTCCCAGCCCTGTGGCAATTCCTGGCCCACCGCATGGAAGACCTGGGCCCTCTGGAGGGGCTTCCTCTCATAGCCCTGTCCTCACTGGATGCCCCTACGGTCCGTCTGGCTCCACTGATACCCGAGTCCAGTCTTATCTTCCAGGCATGGGAGGGCCAGCTCCTGCCACTTGATGTGGCCTCTGTGCTGGAGATCCTGGGTTGCCCTGTGGTGCCACCAAGCACGTGGCACCGCTCGCTGCCCCGCTATGTCCTGCCTCCATCCCCCCTCAATGCCCTGCGGGCCCTGGGCAGGCAGGGGGCTGCCGCAGTGGCCTCCCGCATGGCCTCGCTGCCTGATGCAGATGTGGTCACCCTCCGGCACTACCTGTCAGATGTCCCATCCCTGACAAAGCAGGACATGGCCACTCTGGCTGCTCTGCCCCTCTTTCTGCCACTGCCCTGCTTGGCCACCCCACAGCCCACGGAGCTGGTGCCAGCCGCTGCCACCCCGGCGCTGGAGCCAGAGCTGGAGCTGCCCCAAGGTGTGGTGCTGCCGGAGGCTGTGTTGCGGTGCCGGGATGAAGTTGACCGGCGGCTACTCGGGAGGCTGCAGAGGCCCCTCATCAGTGCAGCCTGTGTGATGCTGAAGGCTGTCAGAGCCGTGGCCCAAGGGGCGTATGCGGGGCGAGCAGCTGAGACGCAGGCTCTGCTGCTCTGGGTGCTGCAGCACGGGGACACTGTCTTTGCACAGAGCCCCTCGCTCCAGCAGGCCTGCAGCACGCTGGCCTTCCTGGAGACCCCTGACGGCCCCGCATGCCCACAAGACCTCTATGACCCCTGTGACAGCACCTTGCAGGCGCTGCTGGGACCCGAGCGCTTTCCTCCTGCTGCCTTCCACAATCCATCTGTCCTCCGTGCCTTGAGGGCCGTGGGCTTGCGGCACGGTGAGGGGTGCATGCTGCCCTCAGACATCCTAGCAGCTGCAGCAAAAGTCAGTCAGGGTGGCACGGCAGCTCTGGACAGGGCTGAGGCACTGATCACTGTCTGCAACCACCCCAAGGCACTGCATGGCTTCAGTGCTGCAGAGCTCGGGCAGCTTCAGGCCCTGCCCTGGGTGCCTCGCTCCAAGTGCACAGGAGAGCCTGGGCAGCCCTTCCTGCCCCCTAAGGAGCTGAGGTCCATGCAGTACCAATCCCTGGTGGGGCTTGCCATGCCCCTGACTGACGCCTTTGTGCCAGAGGCAGAGAGGAAGCTGGGGCTGAGCCAGACCCCACCGCCGGAGAGAGTGTGGGAGCAGCTGAGAAAGCTGGCAGGGCGCAGGAACATGGATGAGGTGGGTCCTGCTCTCCAGCCCATCTACTGGCACATGCAGGAAAACCTGAAGGCCTTTGGGACTGCCCCGGATAGTGCTGTTGTGTGGACTGGGTCTGGGCTTGTCGTGCCACGTGATGCTGTGCTGGGCTATCCTGAGAAGCTGGAGCTGGGGATGCTGGTGCCCCGGGTGCCCCCTGACTTCCTGTCCTACGGCTGCCTCTTCAGGGCTTGGGGAGTGGCAGATGGGGTGAGTGAGGAGAGGGCAGTGTCAGCCCTGCGCGCCCTGGGGCAGGACATAGACAGGCGCAGCTCCAGAGCGGGCACTGCCGCAGAGTTGCAGGTGGTTGTAGCTGTCCTGGAGTGGCTGCAGAGGCGAGGCCACCACGGTGAGGGCACTGTGCCGGTTCCTGTGAGGATCCCTCAGGGCTCAGGCTTTGCCCTCCGTCCAGCTGCCTCTGCCGTGTACCTGGACATGGAGCTGGAGGAAGAGGAGGATGTTCAAGAGGTGGTGCACGAGGCAGTGCCTTCCAGCACAGCCATGTTCCTGGGCACGGAGCGTCTCAGTACGCGGGTGCTGGGCCCAGAGCCGTTCACAGCCTGTGGCCCCTCAGAGCCCATCACCCGACGCCTCCGCAACATCCTCCAGGAGTACGGCGAGGAGGGCGACCTCTTCACAGAGATGGTCCAGAACGCAGAGGATGCCAGCGCTACCGTGTGCCGCTTCCTCCTGGACCTGCGGTGCCGCAGAAAGGCCTCCTCTGGGCTGCTAGACCCAGGCATGGCTGCCTGCCACGGCCCAGCCCTCTGGGCCTACAACGATGCCCTGTTCACAGAGGATGACCTCCAGAACATCACCCGGATTGGGGCTGCCACAAAGGAGGGCCAGGCAGGCCGGATCGGGCGCTTTGGGCTGGGCTTCAGCTCTGTGTACCGTGTCACGGATGTGCCAGCAGTGCTGAGTGGGGAGACACTGCTCATCTTTGATCCCAATGGCACCCATCTGGGCAAGCACATCCCCAGGGCCGGCTCCCCTGGCATCCGCCTGGACTTCTCCAGCCGACCACGCATCCTCCGTGTGTTTGCTGAGCAGTTCCAGCCCTACCACGGTATCTTTGGGTGCTGCCTGCCTGAGCCAGGACCCTTTCCAGGGAGCCTTTTCCGCTTGCCCTTTCGCACTGAAGAGGAAGCTGTGACATCACAGATTTGCTCTGAGGCCTTTGGTACAGAGCGCATCCAGTCCCTTGGAACTGCTTTCCTTGGCTCTAACCGGCTCCTGCTGCTCTTCCTGAAGAAAGTGAGGGAGCTGTCTCTGGAGATGCTGCCAGACACAGCCACTTCTGCAGAGGATACCATGCCTCTGGTCACGTTGCAGAGAAAGGAGATCCGAGACTTGGGGGCCCCTGGGGATCCCCCAAGTTGGGCAGCCATCGAGCAGCTCTCAGCCTGTGAGGAGAAATCCAGGACCACGTGGCACTACCTGGTTTTGGTGTGTCGGGGTGATGGGGAGTTGTTGGAACTGTTTCACCAGAACACACAGGCAGGACTCCATCCTCCCCTTCCCATGGCTGGAGTGGCCTTTCCCCTTGCCCCTACTGAAGATGGCAAGTGGGTGCCACGTCTGGACGCTGAGAAGGGGCAAGTTTTCTGCCACCTTCCCATGCCAATCATGTCAGGGCTGCCAATCCACCTGCATGGGGCCTTCAGCATCCTCTCAAATCGCAAGGGGCTGTGGGGCACGGCGGAGCGGGGCAAGTGGAACCGGGTGCTGCTCCACAATGCCGTGCCACTGGCCTGGCTCCGGGCACTGGACCATCTCCGTGCCATGCACGAGGCAGGCGAGTTAAAGAACTATGAGTATCATCTCTTCTGGCCAGACATTAGCACTGCCCATTACCCCTTTACAGAGGCTGTGACTGGTTTCTACCAGGCTGTGGCAGCCAGGAGTGGCCCAAGGCTCTTTTCCGATGGCCACTCCTGGTGCTCACTGCAGGACGCCCGCTTCCTGCACCAGGCTGTGGAGAGACACCCTGAGCTGGGAACTGTGGCACAGCGAGTCTTTGCCATCACCGTGCCCCGTCCCCTGTTGGCTGTGGCCTTGCCTGGGAAGGTGCAGGAGGGCCTTGGGAAGGCGCTGGATGCTGGAACCTATGACTGGAGCCACTTTCTCTGTGAGCTTGTGCTTCCCAACTTGGAAAATCTCCCTGATGTTGACCGGAACCTGCTGGTGCTCCATGCGCTGGATATGTCTCATGAGGATGTGGACAAAGTGCTGCGGACAGTGCCCTGCATCCCTGTCACCCCTCATGGCCACCTGCAGTTCATCAATTACCTGGTGCATCCCAGAGGCCGTGCTGCCCCTTTATACAACCCTGAGGATGGGCGCTTCCCCACTGGGAATGCCTTCCTGGAGAGACTAAACCAGCTAGAGAGACTGGGCATGGTGAAGAACACCGTGGCTCTGCCAGAGCTGCTGGAGAGGGCAAAGACTGTGCAGCTAGTCTGGACCAAGAATCATGCCCAGGGCTGCCAGAGGGCTGCCTGCATCCTTGAGTTACTTCGGGATGCAGTGAAGAAGGGAACAAACGACACCCTGCAGGCCGCTTTCCAGAGTGTGCCCTTCCTCCCTGCTGCACAGCACACCGGTGACCCTGTGCTGCTGCCAGCTGCCCAGCTCTACCATCACCTCCATGAGCCACTAGTGGGACTCATCCAGCCTATCTTGGCTTCTAAAATGCTGGGGGAAAACTTCAGCCTCTCCAAGGAGGTAGCGTCCTTCTTGGGACTGGACCGGCAGGTACCATCAGCTCAGGTCCTTGAGCAGCTGCGAGCACTCCGTCGTTTCTCTAATACTCTCCCTTTGGAGACCCTGCAGAACAACACCAACTGCTGCTACAAGCACCTGAACATGCTGCTCCAGGAACATTCCTCCAGCCGGGATGAGGTGGCATCTGCAGTGGCCCCAGGGGAGCCCTTCATCTTGGTGGGCTCCCGTTTTGTGCCAGTCACAGCTGTGGCTGAGACACTGTCATTTGAGGCTGTCCCATACCTTCATCAACTTCAAGACCAGTACAAGTCCTACAGAGAGCTCTGGGAGTGTGTGGGGCTGCGCCACACATTCGCCTGGGATGATTATGCCCGAGTGCTCTGCACCCTGGCAGAGACACATGCTGGAAAGCCACTGCCTGCTGCGGAGCTGAATCTGGCCCTGCGGCTTGTGTCTTGTGGCTTGATGGAAGATGGCAACCAGCCTGATGCCTGCCAGACCCAGCAACTCTTTCTGCCTGATGAGGAGGGCATTTTGCACCCACGGGACAAGCTCTACTTCAATGATGCACCATGGATGCCGTTGGACAGAGATGTCCTGCTGTGCCATAAACAGCTGTCCCGAGAGACAGCCCTGCACTGTGGGGTGACCACCACACGCCACCGAGCACTGGAGAGGTGTGTAGTCAACATTGATCACCTGAGCCTCTGGGCACAGCCATTTGGTCCCCATGAAGATTTGCCAACGCGACTGAAGAACATCTTGAAGGAGTATCCCACTCCTGATCTGGTGAAGGAGGTGCTCCAGAACGCGGATGATGCTGGTGCGGGGCTTTTGCACTTTGTGTGGGACCGCCGGCAGCACCCAGCAAAGGCCACCTTTAGTGAGGAATGGAAGACGCTGCAGGGCCCTGCCCTCTGCATCTACAATGATCGTCCCTTCCAGGAGCAGGACATTAAAGGCATTCAGCATCTGGGGGTCGGCAGCAAGCAAGACCGTCAGGATGTCACAGGCAAATATGGCCTTGGCTTCAACACTGTCTACCACTTTACTGACTGCCCAGCCTTCCTGACCGGAGACAGTACCCTGTGTGTCTCTGATCCCCATCTCTTCTATGTGCCCACAGCCACAACTGAGAAGCCTGGTAGCATGTTTGCTGTCAACACTGACTTCAAGAAGAATTTTCCAGACATTTATGACACCTTCCTACCATCCTTCTTCAACTTGAAACAGGGCGTCCTTTTCCGGCTGCCGCTCCGCACTGCAGATGAGGCTGCCAAGTCCAGGGTGTCTGACATTGTCGTGCGAGACCAAGACCTCAAGAACATGGAAGAAACACTGGCTAAGGAAGGTGAGGACTTGGTGCTCTTCCTCCGGCACGTCCACACCATCATCTTCTCTGAGATCCCCCCAGATGGGAAAGAGTTGGTGGAGAAACTGCAGGTAACCACGGAGCTCACAGAGGATGATGCAAAGTTGAGACGGGATTTTCAAGCAAGATTAAGCCAAGCCATGGATGGGAACAGCCCCACCCCTCTCTCCTATACCATGAAAGTCAAAAATAGCAGGACCAAGACCACAAGTTTGTGGCGGGTGATCTCCCAAATTGGGGTGGAGGATGGGGCTGAGGAGTCTCCAGAGCTTAAATGGCTGCCCTATGGGGCTGTGGCTGCCCGCCTGGAGCCTCTGAACCGGGTCAAGGGCAGAGCCTTCTGCACCCTCCCACTGCCCTTAGTCACTGGGCTGCCTTTGCACATCAATGCCAACTTCTCTGTGGATGCAGCCAGGTGCAGTCTCCACTGGGACAAAGGCGGCACAGGGGCAACCTGGAATGGCTTCTTGCTCCGGCGCTTGGTGGTTCCACTATACTGTTACTTTCTCACCAGGCAGTGGAAAGCCCTGAAGCCAGAGTGCCAGTCCCTGGAACTCTGCTGTCAGCACCTGGACTCCCACTTCCTCCAGTTTTTCCCTGTTACGAAAAGTGTGTTACCTATGTTCCAGGACATGGTGAGAGAGGTCTACAAGTACCTCAGTCATGAACGCCTGCCCCTTGTGCCTGTGTACAGGGAGTCATCTGACGGGGTGACAATAACCTGGGCCTCTCCAGGTGGAGGGGACATGCTAACAGAGCCATACTTTCTCAAGGAGATGCCTGAGCCAGAAATCCAGAAAGTGCTGGAGCAACTGAACATGAAACTGGTTCCCGCATTCCCCCACCTGCAGCAGATCCGCGAGGAGTTCATTGAAGCCCAAGTGAACACTGTTGTCTTAGGGCCAGCCTCTCTCCGGTGCTTCCTCAAGGCCTTGGCTCTGCCTGTGCCCTGCAAGCTGGCTGACACACCCCTGAGGACCCCAAAGAGCTGCACCTACCTGCTGCAATACTTAACAGGACGGAACAGCCACTCCCAAGGTACTCACAAGGATGGGGACAAGGCAATCCTGGAAGGCCTGCCCTTGCTGGCCACAGAAGATGGTCTTCTGCATGCTTGCAGTAGCCACCACCCTGTCTTCAAGAACTCCTTTGCTGACCTCTTCCCCAAGCACAGCCACCGTTTTGCCCAAAAGTGTGTTCCTGCATGGATCCCACCTTGCTTTGTGAAGGAACTTGACCTCCCACAGGCCATACCACTCATCCAGGAGGTGTTGGGTCAGTGGAAGTGGACCAAAGAGGGGGAAAAGTGGCTCGGGGGGCTGTGGACCTTCTTTGAGAAGGTGATCCGCTCCGATACCTCAGATGCGGCCATGAAGTCATTCATGAATCATCTCCAGAATATGGCAGTGCTGCCTGTTCAGGGGAATAAGAAAGACTCAAAGCACCTACTGCCACTATCCTCCCTCTCCAAGGTTCTTTATGAGTGTTACTCTGAAGTGGGAAAAGTGCTGCATAAAATGGGCATCCCTGTGCTCCAGAAGTCCCTGCTGCCCGGGAGTTTTGCCTACGATTTCCTGAAGCCAGAGGCACTGCAGGTCAGAGATCCCGGGGCTATAGTGGCCCATCTGGCAGACACAAGAGCTGATCTGTGCTGGGGGGATTTAGAGGAGGAGGATGTGTCAGCCCTGCTAAGGTTTGTCAGGCAGGGAAAGGAAAAGCTGGATTCACGTGCACTGGAGCAGCTCCAGCGCCTGCCTCTCTTCCAGAAGTCTGGGGGGGGCTATGTAGCTGTGGCTCCCTACCGCAAGGTGCTGTTACTCCGCAAACAGGTGCCCTTGAATGCCCAAGCCCTGTATGACTTGGATAAAGACATGGTGCTTCTCACACTAAGCCTGTCCCACAAATGGCTGGCCGAGCGTTTGAAGTGGGAGGTCACAGATGACCAAAAGCTCTTCATGACTGTGGTACTTCCCCAGCTGTCCCAGCTCACACAGCAAAACCTCATGGAAGCTGTACGATTGTTCTTTGTCCTGAAACCTTCCTATGATGTTGAGAGTGTGAAGGCCATTGTGGCAGCTTTTCAAAAAGTGGCCTTTATACCAGATGCCCACGGAACACTGCGCCTGGCCTCCTACTTCTACCTTGACATGCCCTCCTTCCACATCCTGCGGCTCCAAAACCGCTTTGTGCCTGAATCTTTCTTTAAGGAGCTACGTTTGAACCAGAAAGAAATTGTGCAGTTCCTACTGGAGGCAGGTGTCCGCACCAGCCTCTCTGTAGAGGATTTTGTGGCACTGGCTGAGGAGATAGAGCGTGAAGCCACTCAGGCTACATGCCATGCTGCAGAACTGCTGGAGCGACAGCAGGAGATGGTCGAGCAACTTGCAATCCTGTTGAAAAATCCTGAGTCAGAGGGTTTCCTGAGGAAAATTGCCTCAATCCAATTCCTGCCTCCACTGGATATCCCCGCAGACTTAATGAACCTTCACCCTCCTTTTGCAGACTGCACTAAGGCCGTGGCTCTGAAAGGCAGCGTTTCCTACTGCAACAATGTGGCTGAACTCCTGTGGACATCAGTCACCATCCTGCAAAAATCCCTTGAACTTGAGAAGACATCCCTGAAGGCCATGGGAGTCCTTGTAGAGATACCCACTGCCCTGGTGGTGGCCAACCTGGAACATGTGTGCAGGGCAGCTTGCTCGACACAAGGACAGCTAAGCACACGGGCCAAGGTGCTCCATAGTATGTACAGCTTCCTGCAGGACCATCTGGAGGAGGTGGATGCAGAGCACCTCGCTGAGCTGCCCGTGGTGCTGGCCAAGTCATGTGACATGGCCAGGCCATGGCAGGTGGTGGCAGCACTCCCAGACGAGGCTGACTTTTACCCCTACCTCCTCATGCCTCACCCCCAAATTGTTGTCTTTAGAGATCTCCTGCAACACCTTGGCGTTGTCCTGGTCCCCACACTAACTCACTACAGCCGTGTCCTGGCCCAAATCTACCAGGAGAGCCATGGCAGTGGGACCCTTTCCAGTAGCCAGAAGAAGACGGTCCTGGTGGCCACACAGCATTTCTTCCAGCTGCTGCGGGAGAAACCAGAGCCCCCTGATTGCTCTGCTGTGGCTGAGCTGTACCTGCTGAGCACTGCTGACTGCCTGGAGCTGTCCCACAAACTCTGCTTCAACGACTGTGTGCCCTCAGAGACTGCTCGGGCCCTGGAGAAGACCTTTGTGTTCATGGCTGCTCTGCCAGTGTCTGGGTGTAATGCCAGGTGGCTGCTGCAAAGGCTGCCACCACACCTGCAGCCACGGGTGCTTTCAGAGGTGACAGAGAAGCAGCTGGAGGAGGGTGGTCCACAGCCATGTCAGCACGGCTCTCAGTGTCCTGCGCAGAGGCGTCTGCAGACCCTGTTGGTATCCCCGTGGTTTAGGCTGGGGCTGGAGTCCCTGGTGCAGTGGCAGACCCCCAAGGCTATGATGGGAATGGAGGGGGATGGTGGCTTTGCAGTGGAGCAGGTGAAAGTGCAGTGCTGCAAGAACATCCGCACTGTGTTGGTGCACAGCGGGGCAAAGGTGGAGGGCAGCTCCCAGTCGCAGGTTATCCACGTGTGCCTGTCTGGTGGTGCCCAGCGGCTCTTCTACATCCAGCACGCAGAGATGGTGCTGAACCGGCAGCAGCTGAGGGTGGTGGAGACGCTGGTGCAGGAGATCAATAACATCCTGGGTGGGCAGCTGGAGACACACGCTTTGTCCGTGCTGCGTGAAATGCTGGTCTGCGAGGAGCCGCAGGACATTGCCTTGGTTCTGGAGGAGAACAATGTGGCACTCGTGGAGGCTGCACCAGAGCCAGAGAAGAGGCTGCAGGAGGAGGCTGAAGCTGTGGCAGAAGAGGGGCCATGGAAGGATCCCAGCCTGGCAATGAGGCCTCTGCATGGTGTCAGGGGGCCAAAGGTGTGGGGCCAATACAAACCTGTGAGCATGCCCTGGCACCACGGGCAGGGAGGCAGTGGCTCCTTGCTGAGCAGTGAGGAGCTCATGGTCCTGACTCCGTCCATCCCTGAGGCCCTGCGTTGGCTGTGTCAGGCCACGAGTGACCTGCAGGCCGCCAACAATGACATCTTGCACAGCTGCCCCAACTGGGTGCTCTTCAAAGTGCACCAGGCCCTGGAGAAGGCGCTGGTGGCGGCCGTGCTTTGCCGTGGGGTAGCCTTTGCGGGCCATAGGGGGCTAATGGGCATGGCCCGAAGCCTGGAGGCCGAGGAGCCGGAGCTGAGGGGCCTCGTCCTGGATGTGCAGTGGTTGTGTGACTGCGGTGTGGACAGCAAAGCCACGCAGTACCCGAGTTACCATCCCTTTCCCATGATCCCCAGTGAGGCCTTCCCCAGTGTGGATGAGGAAGAGGTCCTGAAGCGGGCACAGAAAGTGCTGGTGACACTGAAGAACTATGTGGGCAGAAAGTGAGAGGTCCCTACCAAGGGGCATGGCACCTGGGGCAAAGGACCACCAGGCGCCCATCAGAGACCCACCATGGACCTGTTGTGGACTCACCGTGGACTTGCCACAGGCAATTCCAGACTGTCCAGCCCTGGTAGGGGAGTTTTGGTGGCAGATGAAGGCCTAGACCACTGGACATCACAGAGTAGCCTGAGCCATTGGCATGTCTTGAGTGTGCAGTAAATAAAGTGCAAAATAAATGTTGCAGTGCTGGTAGATATCCTTCACTGACAGTGGAGTCAGGGACATGAAGAAGTCATGGGAAATGGGTGTTGAAGGTGGAGGTGGTGATGAAGGCATTTGGAGAGCTGTGGTGGGTCAGTTTTGTCTAGCCAGGTGCCCACTGAGCCACTCCATTACTTCCCCTCTTTGACTGAAAAGGAGAAGAAAATGTGATAAAAATCCCATGGGTCAGGGAGATCACTGACCAATTACTGTCACAGTCAAAACAGACTCACCTTGGGGAAATTAATTTATTTTATAACCAATTAAACAGAGTAGAAAAATGAGAAATAAGAATAAACCTTAAAACACCTCCCCCTACCCTCCTTTCTTCCCAGACTCAGCTTCACTCCCAACTCTTTTACCTCCTCCCCTTGAGCAGTGCGCAAGATGGGGAATGTGGATTGCTGTCAGCTCATAACACTTGTCTCTGCTGCTCCTTTCTCCTCACAGATTCCCCTCTCCATGGGAGACAGTCCTGCACCAACTTTTCCAATGTGGGTCCTTCCCACGGGCTGCAGTTCTCTAAGAACTGCTCCAGCAAGGTCCCTTTCCATGGGGTACAGTCCTTCAGGAACAGACTGCTCCCGTGTTCTGCCAGCTCCTGCATGGACTCCTCTCCACAGAGCACAGCCCCTGCCAAGGAGCCCGCTCGAGCGTGGGCTCCTCCCAGGCTGCAGCTCCCTTCAGGGCATCCCCACCTGCTGTGCTGTGGCGTCCTTACATGGGGTGCAGTGGGGATCTGTTCCTCTACTCACCTACATGGGCCATGGGTCAAAATCGTCCCTATGGGCTGCACCACGGGCTGCAGGGGAATCTGCTCCAGCATCTTCTCCTTCCTCAGCCTTGGTGCCTGCAGGGCTGTTGCTCTCACATCATCTCCTTCCTCCCTGCTAGCTGCTGTTGCACAGCAGTGTTTACCCCTTTTTTAGTATCTAATCACAGAGGCCCTCCTGGCATCACTGGTTGGCTCAGCCTTAGCCAGTGGCAGGTCCATCCTGGAGCCCTCTGGAGCTGGCTCTGCCCAACATGGGGGCAGCTTCTGGTGTCTCCTCATAGAGGGTCACCCTGCAGGCCCCTGCCACCCAGACCTGGCCATGCAAACCTGTGACAAGGATGATGAGGTAGTACCAAGGGGAGCATGAGGGTCTCAAGAAAAGCATGAGGTAGGGGAAGCAACAAGAGGAGCTCAAATGTCAACGAGCTGGAGTCATTGCCATAGGCCCAGAGATCACCACCAAAGTCCCAGTGTGACTCTGCTGTATGAGGCCAGGTACACGGCCTGGCCCTGGGTCAGGGCAATCCCAAGCACAGACTCGGGCTGGGCAGAGCAGGGGTTAAAAGCAGCCCTGAGGAGGACTTGGGCATGTTAGTGGACATAAATTTCAGTGTGCCTCAGCCTCTTGTGCTGTTACAAGAAAACCCCATGTCCTGGGCTGGCACCACAGCGTGGGCAGCAGGGGACAAGGGGGATTCTGCACCTCTGCCCTGCTCAGGTGAGACCCCACATGCAGAGCTGTCTCCAGCCCTCGGGTCCACCATCAGAAGGATGTGGAGTGAGTCCAGAGAGGCCAAAGAGATGCTCCGAGGGCTGGAGCCCCTCTGCTCTGAGCCGGGCTGGGAGAGCTGGGGCTGTTCAGCCTGGAGAAGAGAAGGCTTCAGGGAGACATTTCCAATGCCTAAAGAGCTTAGAGACATTTCCAATGCCTAAAGAGGCTCTAAGAGAGCTGAGGGGTGACCTTGGACGAGGGGTGACCTTGGACAAGGGCCTGGAATGCCAGGACAAGGGGAATGGCTTTCAAATGGCAGAGGGCAGGGTTAGAAAAAACTCTTCCCTGTGGGGATGGTAAGATTCTGGCACAGGTTGGCCAGAGCAGCTGTAGCTGCCCCATCCTTACAAGTGTCTGAGGCCAGGTTGGAGGGGACTTGGAGCAGCCTGGTCTGGTGGCAGGTGTCCCTGCTCATGGCAGGGGGTGGAATAGGATGACCTTTGAGGTCCCTCCAGCCCAAACCAGTCTGGGATTCTGTGCTGAGGTGAAACATCACCATGGTGATGACAAATCCAGGGGCTGCCAAGCTGCCATGGCATCATGTCCATTGGGTGGTCCCTGACCAGGCCAAAGGGCAGCTCCTGAGGAGACCTGGTCATCTGATTGGGCCAAGGCTGCAGAAGTGGGATGCCATCACTCAGTGCTGAAGGCTCAATGTCAGGTGCCCTGACCCTTGACCAGTAGAACGTGGAGGTTTTTGTGCCTTCAAGGCAGAGCAGCCCAGGCACATGGCTTCTGCCTCTCCTGCCTGTGTTTCTCCCCTGTTTGGGCAAGGGATGTGAGCTGAGCTGAGGCTGGACATGACATCAGTGTGTGGCATGTCTGCCAGCCTCAGGGACCATAGACAAGGGGTGGGGGGGGGCTTCAGCCACCAGGAAGATGCATTGCTACCACTCACTGTGACAGAGAACATGGAAAAGAGAAAGTTTTGGTTGCAAAATACAGCTTAAAGACTAACTAGAAAATTAGATAAAAGAATGTAAAAGTAGACACATAGGATGTTGAACAGAGCTGGAAGCAGTGGAAAAACAGATTATAAAGCACCTAAGTGAGGTTTTTGGCAAAGTTATGTAACAAGAAACAAGAGTGTGTGCCCTAAGAGAAGTTCAAGGCAAGGGCACTTCCAAATTTGGGGACTCACAGTGAATATGACCACCAGAGACCCCTTTAGACGACCCTCCAAGACCATAAAAGGAGTTCCAGCAAGGGACAGAGGTGGGTAAAGTAGTTCTAGGAAAAGTAATGTTTGTGTATGAGCTAGGAACTACCTTGTGATACGTATGATCATGGTGGAATAAATCCCTGTTGTAAAGTTTCTTCACTTAGAGGAGACATCCTCGGCATATAAATATTAGTCATTAATCAAGAGTAATACTAGATCCAGGGATGATCTGAAATGAGTGCTGTCACCATAGCCTGGCCACTTCATACACCTGATCCAGCAGCACTGAGCATGCTGGTTTGGGAGATTTTCCCTCAGCCATTCACTTGGTATGTATCTCACTAGTCCGGCTGTAAGGAAACTGTGTGGCTGTTGAATGTTTTACAATGTCCAGCAACACCATCCCTGGTCTGCCATTATTTGCAGAGTCAATCAGGTTGGCCAGGCACCACGTGCCCCTGGTAAATCTCTGCTGGCTGTTCCCAATGCCCTTCTCTCTCACTTGCTTGAAAGGGTGTCCAGGAGGATTTGCTCCATCACTTTCCCAGGGATTCCAAAGCAGATGATTAGCCTGTAGTTCTTCAGACCCTCTGTGCCCATCTTTAAAACTGGCGTAGTGCTCTCTGAAGTTCTCAGGAACCATCTCCACTGGCCAGCCTCCTCTGAAGACAATGGACAGCTGCTGTAGCTTCCTCCAGTCTAGACCTGGTGTATGCCTGGCTCAAGAGCTCCCTAACTGTTCTCCCCCTCCTCTACTGCTGTGGCATAGGAATGTGAGAGACACAAGCTAGAAGCAAGTGAATCTGCTTTATTGCAAAGTTAGGACATTATTTATACATTTCAGTGTGAATAAGTGTTCAGCAGTTTGCTCAAAAGCAGTTGCAGGCCTGTAATAAATCCATCGTTTTGACAGCTTGTAATTCTTCTCTCAAGGTTTACAGGCTTGACAAACAGGACCTTTACAGTTTTCAGATCATGTGTAATCAGCTTTCTTCCCCATTTCTCACCATTCTTGTTTGCATGATGCAGGGCAGGCTTCCTGTGTAAGTGCTTCCATAAGTGCTTCCACAGGAATGTCTGTACACTCCTCCTGGATAGCTTGATTCTTCTTCCACATTTTTTTCTTCCACATTCCTCTTTTCTGAGCTGAGGTTGATCAGAAGTTTCCGGTTCATTTGATCTCCTGTCACCCAGGGTTGTGATTCTGCTTTTCACCTTGCTAAGTTATTTTAAATTATGCCCTCAACCCTTGACCTTCTCATCCTCAGCCAGTTCTTGAGTATTTTCAGGATCAGGAATTCCTCCCTCCTATCAAAGGTCATAGAGAGACGAATGAATTAAACACTGGGCAAGTTTCAACTTTGATCTGTCATCATTAATGGAGAAATTGACCTAGGAGGTAAAGGAACTCACAGATGTATGCAGCTTCAGCCCTTGCCTAGGAATTGTTCCTGATCTTCACAAAACACGGCCTTCTATGGCTTGCAGAATAGTCTTGGAATGATCTCTACAGCCCAGCTTTTACCTCCCTCAGAGTGCTCCTTCCCACAGTATGTCACACCAGTCTGGCACAGTTCCTGTGCAGGTGACATCCACTGCCACCTGGACCACTTTACCCACCACCAGTGAAGGAGCATGGATCATTCCATTTTTTCCCACATAAGATATGGAGCAGAAATTACTGTTGTAAATCCTGCCAATTCTTTCTGAATAAGTACATACAAGCAAAGACATCTTGCACAGGATCTACCTTTTTGGAACCCTGGTGATCAGTGGCACAGAGTCCAGTGGTGGACTGTTGCAGCCTGAAGAGCTGCTAGTAAAGTCCAGGGTAAGGAAGCAAAAAGAGCCTTTGCATCGTCTCCAGAGATGTTTAATTCAGCCTTGCGGGGAGATATTCCGAGTCCCCAGGGACACTCATGGGAGACTCGAGGTTTCTCCCTCCCGAGGGCCATGGGGTGAACCTGGTCTGGAGGCAGTACAAAAATGAGGGCCAGTCAGGGAATAGGGAGGGAGTGGCTCAGGGACATAGGAACAGGCATAGGGACAGGGGAAGGAGCCAATAGGGTCTAAACAGCTTTTTGAGGGATGCTTGTTGTGTCTCCCTAAGCCAGGGGATGCCCCCCAGGGTCCCCAGAGTGCACCCCGGAGGACAAGGCTGAGCCCAGTCCTTCCTGACACCTTTGTTACTGAACTGGGTGAGGGGGCCAGGCTGTGCCCTCCCACACACCAGGAGCAGTGGCTGATCTGCCAGAGAGAAGTGCTGCCAT